CTCGACTCCCCCGCTCATTACCACCGACGAAACCCCCTCGATCATTCTCATACACGCCGTACCTACGAATGAGAGCTGTCACGCCGCGTCGCGTCCCAGTGCGACCCCGCGGCAGGTCCAGGTGCAGCCCCTCGGCGGTTGCGCGGACCATTCATCGCGCGCGTTGCGCGCAGCTTGAGGCGGCTAATTTGAGTTTGATTGGTTCTCGTTCTTGGCAAAGTCAACGTCGGATCCATCAAGTTTCCGACAAAGTGCGGTTCCGTGGATTAACACGAATCTCTTCAGTCGAGTTCTAACACAGCACGCGGCAAGCGCCAGGTGGAGTAACCTCGACATGAAGACGACTTAATATGGACAGATTGCGCGGTGCCGCTCTTTGTTAGTGCATGAGACTCTGTGCCGGGGATGTCCCAACATTCTTGGCATTCTTGGCAGTTTTGGGTCAAGAGGCCGAGATCTCGAGCCGTGCTTTGCGGCTTACAGCAGTCGAGCAGTCACAGAAGGCTCTTGGCGAGTCGGACGGCTTTATTCTGACAGAATCTCTGACACTCCTTACGAGCCGTTATTCGGATCGCAGTGCTCTGTAGTGACTGCACCTTCTGCAGAGCAACGGCTGGAGAGCAAGTGCTGCGGAGCGATCACCGGAGAGCAGCTGGTGCTGCCGGCTTCGGCAACAGGGCCTTCACTGAACCCTTGGTTGCTATTAATTGGCCATTGGGAAGGTGATTGGTGCGGGTGAACGCAGCGGTGAGCAGTGGCTGTTACGAACATCACTAAGCTCATTATCCGCATTGGAGGTGCAGGGATAGGGAGATCAGTGACCGCCGTGCTTCCCAGCTGCTACTGTCCGTAGACTGGGTAGTTCGAGTGCGAGCGAACCGAGTCAACCGGGTGTTGGTCAAAATACTGCGTCGTACTGCGTCGTACTGCGTCGTACTGTGCAACGAGCTGTTACAAACCTGGTGGCTGTCATCATGGGGGAGGCAGCGGACGTAGAGGCGGGACTCACGGCGGGTGAAGCGCCGCGCGAGGGCACGGAGTGCTTCACCGTGGTTGACCTGGAGAACGGTGCTTGTAACGGGGGTAGTTCTAATGGCGACCATGGCGGCCATACTAACGGCGGTACTGACGGCGAACGTGTGGTCGTGGAAGATTCTTTCAAGGATTTCGCCGCTGCTGGAAAGAGCGTGTTTGTAAAACACGCGCTCGACCACTCCGCGTACGACCTAACCGTCGTCGATTTGACTTACAAGGTGTGCCTATCATGCCTGTTATCTGTCACCACAATCTACTCTATCAAATGATTTCTTGCTTCCCACTGTCGTCGTCTTTAGACTCGACTCAAGAACAATCGATTATCTCTTACTCTGCCATATCCAAATCTCTTGGCGTATCGTGAACTTACATGTGCTGTGCTGTGCTGCTCCTGTATCCTTCTCGTTCCACCCGCTCCCCTCCGCTAATCCTTACCAACAGGTTGTCAAGAAGGCGGGTAACAACGGCACGAAGCAGATGATTCTCCTGAACAAGGTCAACGCTAAGGCACGCCATGGCCAGGTGATGGCGATAGTCGGCCCGTCAGGCGCGGGGAAATCGACGTTTCTCGACGCGATCGCGGGACGAATCAGCCAATCCTCGCTGGACGGCGAAATTCTGGTTAACGGCAAGCCGGTTGAGTCGTCGTTCAAGCGAGTGTCGGGTTACGTTATGCAGGACGACCAGCTTTTCCCCATGCTGTCGGTTCGCGAAACGCTCATGTTTTCCGCGCGGCTGCGACTTCCAGCGACGATGTCGCTCGCCGATAAGAAGGAGCGTGTTTCAGATCTGATCGACGAATTGGGGCTGAAGACTTGCGCGAACACGATTATCGGGAATGCCGAAGTTCGCGGGGTTTCGGGAGGCGAGCGGCGACGAGTTTCGATCGGCGTGGATTTGATTCACGACCCTGCTGTACTCTTTTTGGACGAACCCACTTCTGGGTTGGATTCTACTGCTGCTTTAAATGTTATGCAAAGCTTGCATGACATTGCTACACATCGGCGCCGCACGATTATCCTCACAATTCATCAGCCTTCCTTCCGAATCCTGGACCTTATTCACAACTTCCTGGTGCTGGCGAAGGGGTCCGCAGTGTACCATGGGTCTTATCCAGGAATGCTGAAATTCTTTGAAGACTTTGGTACAGTGGTGCCTGAACATGTGAGTCCAAATCCTGACTGAAATTGCCCGAATATGAAGCCTTCCTTTTTTGCATCTCCATAATATCTCATTTCACATCTCATGATAGTACCTGCTTGTTTTTCTCCCTCGTGTGTTGGTTGTTCATCTTCAGGTGAACGCGCTCGAGTATGCTCTTGACATGATTGAAGAGGAGCAGCAGAAGGAACGGGGGCTGGACGAGCTGATTCGCTTCAGTGTAAGTGCAGCGACCAGCGACGGTGACATGGGATGGGATGGATGGCATGCCTTCATGCATGACTGGAATCAATGCCATGGGATGATGTGAGGGTGAGCGGGCTGAATGCGCTGATTCAATGCTGTGTAGTGTGCGTGCGGCCGGCGTGTGGAGTGTGTGCAGCGTGTGCAGTGTCAGTGACATGTGGCTTCCAAGTCAACTCAAATGACCAGCTCAGTTCATGTGCACTCTGAGGGCATGGTACGAGCCATGGCTCAACCCACCTGACTCAACCCACCATGGCATGCTGAGCCACGGCTCAACCCACCCGACTCATCCACCATGGCATGCTGAGTCATGTCTCAACCCTCCTTCCTCCTCGTCCACCAGAAGGTGCACTGAAGCCGCCACGCCTCCCTCCATTCCTCCCCGTTCCCACCCCCTTTCCCCCTCGCTTCCCCCCATTTCCTCCCCCTTTCCCCCTTTCCCCCCTCCCCACCCTCCCTACCCCCTTCGCCCTCTTCCCCCCCGTTGTCCACCTGAAGAAGCGCTACAGGCAGGAGCGGTCACTAGCCAATCACAGCGCGCTCAACCCGCACCACCACCCAGTCCCCTTTCCCCCTCCCCTCCCCCCTTCCCCCGTCCCCTTCCCCCTCCCCCCTTCTCCCCCCACAACCCCCCCGCCCCTCCGCAGAAGGAGCGCTACGAGCACGAGCGGTCCCTGGCAACTCACAGCGCCCTCGGCCCGCACCACCACGCCTCCCCCATTATTCCCATCTCTTCCCCCTCTTTCCCCTTCTCCCCCCCTACCTCCGCCCCTTCCCTTCCACCAGAAGGAGCGCTACAAGCACGAGCGGTCCCTCGCCACCCACAGCGCGCTGTGCCCGCACCACCACACCTCCCCCATTTTCCCCTTACCCTTCCCCCTTCCCCTCCCCCGTTCCCCTCTTCCCTCTTCCCACTCCCCCCCCGCTGCCCTTTCCCTCTTACCAGAAGGAGCGCTACGAGCACGAGCGGTCCCTCGCAACTCACAGCGCCCTCGGCCCGCACCACCACGCCTCCCCGCCTCCGCGCACCTTCGCCACGCCCTTCCTCCACGAAACCCTAACGCTCGCCGATCGCAACTTTAAGAACATCTTCCGAACGCCGGAGCTGTTCTTATCGCGTATCGGCCTCATGGTGATCACCGGGCTTATTCTCGGGTCGCTGTTTCTTAAATCGGGGTACGACGCGGAAGGCATCACGAACCGCGCGTCGTTCTTCGCCTTCGCGCTCGCGCTCCTCCTGTTCACGTCCACCGAGGGCCTTCCGATCTTCCTCGACGAACGGCAGATCTACATCCGGGAAACCTCGCGCGGCGCGTACCGCACCGGATCGTACGTGCTCGCGGGAGCGCTGGTCTTCCTGCCGTTCCTCTTCCTCCTCTCGCTGCTCTTCTCGTGCGTCGCGTATTTCATGGTGGGACTCGCGGCGACGGCCACGGCGTTTTTCCGGTTCGTCGCGACGGTGTTTCTGACCCTCGCGGTGGGGAACTCGTTTGTCGTGTTCTTCGCCGCGTTCGTGCCGAATTACATCACCGGGAATACCGTGGTCACGGCGATCACCGCGTTCTTCTTCCTCTTTAGTGGCTTCTTCATTTCCAAGTAAGATACTCGTGGATAGCATTCCATTTACGGGATCTACGTGAACTACCTCCCGGTACCGCTAAGTACCGCTTACTACATGATGCTCACTATCCACATGGCTCCCTCCTTGCCCTTCCCGTGTGTCCCCACCATGTCTCTAATCTACTGCTCTCTCCATCCCCGCTCTTCCCCCCACTCAGGAACAACATTCCACCGTACTGGATCTGGATGAACTACCTCTCCACCTTCAAGTACCCCTTGGAAATGCTCACTCTCAACGAGTACGGCTCTCTCCCGTCCGTCTGCTGGGAATACCTCGTTAAGAGCGACCCGTCCTCGCCCTGTATAGTCACCTCCGACACCGTTATTGCGCGATTCGATATGGCGGACAGCAAGTTCTGGGAGTCTGCAGTGGTGATGGTGTCGTTTTTTATCGGGTACAGGATCTTGTTCTATTTCGCGCTAAGGTACCAGACCTCCCTCGTCCGCAAGTGACGGAGGGGTCTAGTTTCGACGAATAAATACGAGCGCATCGCTACAAGCTCACGTCTAAATACGACGAATCTGGCGCGCCTGGTATTACCTGTAGTACCTCTGGTTTCGCGTAATTGAGACGCAAGCCAAGTGCGCGGAAGCAGAGAAGGAAGGATGGAGGAGTGATGGGTAAGTAGTGTGATATAGATGGGTTTGGTGTGGTGGACGGGACGTCAAAGTCTGTGCTGTACATGTGTATCTAATTGATAATGATAAACAAGTCTTCCCTCTTCCAGTATCAGTAGAGAGGGTGGAGAAGTAATAAGGATCTCCAGTTACAATAGTTCAGACACATTACACTTTAAGCATTACACTTGTTGCAACAGAGCCGGGAGAAACACATACTTGGCGGGGAGAAAATTTGTCTGCTACAGCAGCTGTTCACTTGCTTACTGTTTGTCCCTTTTTTTTTTCAACGCATAAACAAGCAAGTCATATGTCATAACCTACGCGGAAGTTACCGCAAGAGAATCGAAAGCTGCTGAAATTGAATCTCCTGCTTGAGTGGCACCAGGAGCAGTACTAGCCTCAGTATCAGCCACGGGAGGAGCATCAGAATCAGCCACAGGAGAGGCAGCAGGAGCAACAGATACACCAGCCTCAGCGGTGGCGGCAGTACCAGCAGCAGCTGCATCAGTGGCACCACCACCCGCAGCATCAGCAGCACCAGTTGTACTAGCAGCAGCAGCATCACCAGCAGTAGCACCACCATCCCCAGCAGCAGCAGCAGCACCACCACCACTCCCAGCAGCAGCACCAGCAGCACCAGCAGCAGTACCACTCCCAGCAGCAGCACCAGCAGCAGCACCACTCCCAGCAGCAGCACCAGCAGCAGCACCACTCCCAGCAGCAGCACCAGCAGCAGCACCACTCCCAGCAGCAGCAGCAGCAGCAGCAGCAGCAGCAGCAGCAGCAGCAGCAGCAGCAGCAGCAGCAGCAGCAGCAGCACCACTCCCAGCAGCAGCACCAGCAGCAGCAGTGTATTGCCCATCTTTCCTGCGCGTGCGAGCCACACCCAGGCGGGGCAGCCCGCGATTCAACCCCTCCAGGAGCACACACGCCTTGCACAGCTCCTGGTGATAAATTTTGGAGGGGTGAGGAGAGGGGGAGGGAGGTGAGAGGTCGAAAGAGGAGAGATGAGATTTTCTCGTCACTGTGATTCATCATTCAACTCCTCCAGGAGCACACACGCCTTGCACAGCTCCTGGTGAAATATTTTTGGGAAAAGGGAAAGAAGGGAAAGAAAGAACAGGCCCTTAGACCATCTTTCAATCCTTGGGAAGCACAAATGCCTTGCACAGCTTCTAGGGATTGGAGCTTTTGAAGAGGGGTGGGGGGAGGAAAGAGGGAATCAAGGAGACCCTTGCCCCTCCATCAACCCTTCAACCCTTCAATTTTGTGCGGCAATACGGCAATACAGCAGACAGATACATGTCGTGCAAGAGTTTTTTTTGAGAATTCCAAAAACTGGTTGGCCTGTACAAATTTCTCAAAACCCAGAAGTACAGCAGTGCAGCAGACAAGCAGCTCTCCTGCAAGAGCACGGGCAGCTGGAGATGGTGCTCCCTGATTCGTGTACACATCTGTAACCATTCCTAGCTGGAGATGGTGCTCCCTGATTCGTGTACACATCTGTAACCATTCCTAGCTGGAGATGGTGCTCCCTGATTCGTGAACACATCTGTAACCATTCCTTGCTGGAGATGTAGGCATACCTGGCCGGATCTGTATTCGTAATTGTCCGGAGATGTAACCGTACCTGGCTGGAGATGTAATTGCATCGGTCGCAGGTGCGCTGAGTTGGCATCTTCGCATCAGCCTGGAATCTGAAATCCTCCGCAGATTTGATTATGTCCAAAATGGCTCGGGGACTGATCACACATGGGTGGGTTAAAAGGGGCAGAATATAGAGAGGGAGGTTGGAAATGCTTGATATTTACCCCACTATCAGCTTGGAATCTAAACTCCTCGGCTGAATTGCTGAAGGTACACACCCACTTGCCGTATGGCCTCTAATCACTCACTCACCGTATGGCCTCCAAGTCCTTGATGAATTCACGGGCAAAACCTCGATAGGCGTCTGGAGAGTAGATGCCTGCACGCACAGGCAGAGACACGGGCGGAGAGGGCAGAAGAAAGAGAGGAGTGGAAAAGAGAGGGGAAGAGGGGAGTTCATATGATGCCTCTCGGTCTTTGAGGAATTCACGGGCAAAACCTCGATAGGCATCTGGAGAGTATATGCCTGCACGCACGGCACAGGTATGGGAGAGGGGGAGAGGGGGAGAGAGGGGAAGTTGTTGCGTTTTAGGAAGGAGAGAAGGGTAATAAAGCAATGAGTCAAGCGCTAAGGTAAGGTAGGCCTCTGGAGAGTAGATGTGTGGAGGGATAGGCACATGCAGGGGGTGGAGAGGGGAGACAAGAGTAGAGGGGACAAAGAGCACAAATGTGCTTGTGTCTGTGCCAGTGAAAAAGCAGAAAAAAGGTGTTGCAATCATGGTAACACACACCTTTTTTCTCTGCAGAAAGACACGACCAAACAGCACACTAGGCCCCAGCGTTGGCCTATGCATTACGACTCGGGAAACAGTCTCTTTTCTGCAGACCACTTGCTGAATAAGCATGAGAGATTCTTACATTCGGTGGAGAAATAGTCCAGCTTCTTGAAATGCGCGTACGTGCTGATTGAAGGTTGACAGACCAACCAATGTTACAACGTTGCATTGAAGGTGTGGTGGGGCAAGGGGGAAAGAGGTACCGGGAGGAGGCGCAATTGTGGCAGGGCAAGAGCGGGAGAGAGAGAGGGATGCAAAGAAAGAGAGGGATGGAGAGGAGGGAAGGAAGGAAGAGGAACGAGAAGTGAGAGGAAGACGGAGAGAGGATGAAGAGAAGAGAGAAACCGAGGGGAGAGGAGCAGAGGAGAGGAGTTAAGGAATTTCTGAATTACAACGGAAACTTGGTGAAACAAAGTACACGTTATTTACTTGACCGGATGAACAGAGTACAGGATTACAGACCATAAAAATGAAGTACATGCATTAGAATGGACGAGGCACAGATTTTTTTAAAGATTTCAATTCTGGGGCGGATATATGACAATCTCCTTCTCGTAGGTGTATTTGAAGGGTTTGCTCCTGGGCAGGGCAGAGTCCTCTCCCGTGGTGATGACAGCACAGCGACTGAGCCTCGCCACGTCGCCCCTCAGCAGGTTGAGTAATACAGTTTCAGCGAAATCATCCGCGTTGTGCCCCGTGACCAGCTTGTCCGCTCCCAGGAGCGCTGCTCCCCTGTCCAGGGCCTGTATATGTACCATGAGATGCATTGCAACAGGAGGAGAGGTGGAGGGAGGGAAAGCAAACAGGATAAGCCTTGCAGCGATGCTCCTGGGCAGGGCAGAGTCCTCCCCCGTGGTGATGGCAGCGCAGCGACTGAGCCTCGCCACGTCGCCTCTCAACAAATTCAGCAGCACTGTCTCGGCGAAATCATCTGCGTTGTGCCCCGTGACTAATTTGTCCGCTCCTAAGAGGGCTGCTCCTCTATCTAAGGCCTGCAGAGCATGGGAGAGGGGGCAACAAGAGGAGAAGGTGAGAGAGAGAAAGAGCGGTGGGAGAGGGAGGTTGATGGAGGAATGAGATCAGCTCAGCACTATCAGGGCAAAGTCCTCCCCCCCGCGGTGATGGCAGTGGAGCGACTGAGAGGGGTGATGACACCGTCTCGGCAAAGTCATCCGCGTTGTGCCCCGTGACCGTGACTAGCTTGTCTGCTCCCAGGAGCGCTGCTCCCCTGTCCAGAGCCTGTATGTACCATGAGGTGCATTGCATTGCGATGGGAGGAGAAGCAAGGGAGCGAGAGGAAACAGCAGCGACTGAGCCTCGCCACGTCCCCCCTCAGGAGGTTGAGCAATACTGTCTCTGCAAAGTCGTCCGCATTGTGCCCCGTGACTAGCTTGTCCGCTCCCAGGAGGGCTGCTCCTCTATCCAAGGCCTGTAGCAAGGGAGGAAGCGGAAACAGACTCAGTCTCGCCACGTCGCCCCTCAGCAGGTTGAGCAAGACTGTCTCTGCAAAGTCATCTGCGTTGTGGTCTTTCACCAATTTGTCAGCTCCTAGCAGCGCCGCCCCCCTGTCTAGAGCCTGCAGCATGGGGGAGGGGCCAACAGGAGGAAAGGGATAGAAAGCGGAAAAAAATGGGCACTAGCAGGGCAGAGTCCTCCCCCGTGGTGATGGCAGCACAGCGACTGAGCCTCGCCACCCCCCCAATAGATTCAGCAGTACTGTCTCGGCAAATTCATCTGCGTTGCGCCCCGTGACTAGCTTGTCCGCTCCTAAAAGTACTGTCCGCTCCCCTGTCCAGGGCCTGTGGCATGAGGTGCATTGCACTGCGATGGGAGGTAAAGGGAGGGAGAGCAACGAGACTCAGCCTTGCCACGTCGCCCCTCAGCAGATTCAGCAGCACTGTCTCTGTGATATCATCCGCATTGTGCCCAGCTTGTCTGCTCCCAGAAGCGCTGCTCCCCTGTCCAGGGCCTGTGGCATGAGGTAACGAGAGGAATGTGTTATGCTTACCTCAGGCCATGCTACAGGCAGAGCAGACAGGTGATTACATTACATTTGTCTGCTCTGCCTGTAGCATGGCCGCGGGGCATTGCAACAGAAGGAGATTGAGCAGAAAGATTGGAATATCACCTGACAGCCTGAACACCCACAGGGCGTTCAGTTATTGGTGCGACCAGCCACTGGCTCACCAGCATGCATCACGCAATAAATGCTGTACCATGATACCAATGGTACAGCTTATCAATACCATACTAACATACCACGATAAGAGCAGCTTATCCACAACATCTTCTCTGTATCATCAGGATAACCAACCCACCTGTCGTCTGAACACCCCGCAGAACGTGCAGTTGTCCTTGCGGCCGATCGTTGCCACAATCTCGTCCATGGTCCACCCGTACAGGTCCTTGTAGGCGACCAAAGGCGAGCGACCAGTCCCATTCCAGGCAGGCCTCAGCGCTGGTGCGTGCCTCGCCAAGAAAGCTGTGGGCTGTGAGACATGAAACGTTCTCACAGTCACATATTTCAACCTACCTACCTACCTGCCTGCCTGCCTGCCTGCTGCCATAACGCAACCCACCTGTCGCCTGAACACCCCGCAGAACGTGCAGTTGTTTTTGCGGCCGATCGTTGCGACTATCTCGTCCATGGTCCAGCCGTAGAGGTCCTTGTATGATAGGATGGTGAGTGGTATGCCGTACTGCAATGTTGAAGAGGGGAGGGAGAGGAGATGAGGACTGAGCATTTGCTGTGACTATCTCATCCATGGTCCACCCGCAGAGGTCCTTGTATGAGAGGATGGTGAGAGGGATGCCGTACTGCATGGTGTGGTGGGCGGGAAAGAGAGGAAGGTACAGTGGGTATTGGGTGAGATAGCCGCCACTACTTCATCCATGGTCCACCCGTAGAGGTCCTTGTACGAGAGGGTGGTGAGGGGGATGCCGTACTGCAGAAGACAGGTTGGTGGAGAGTGGAAAGGGAGATGGAGCATTGAAGCATGGTGTGTCTGTCCATGGTCCATCCGTAGAGGTCCTTGTTAGAGAGGATGGTGAGGGGAATGCGGTACTGCAGATAAATCAGCAAAGGGTAGAGAGCGGATGGGAGATGGAGCATTGAAGCATGGTGTGTCTGTCCCTGGTCCATCCGTACAGGTCCTTGTATGAGAGGATGGTGAGGGGAATGCGGTACTGCATGGTGTGGTGGGCGGGAAAACGGAAGGGACGGTGGGGATTGGGTGCAATAGCCGGCACTATCCCATCCACGGTCCACCCGTACAGGTCCTTGTAAGAGAGGATGGTGAGAGGGATGCCGTACTGCATATAGGGGGAAGGTGAGGGTGAAGGAGAGAAACACAGAGGCACAGAGGCACAGAGGCACAGAGGCACAGAGGCACAGAGGCACAGAGGGACAGTTAATCCGATAGCCGGCACTATCCCATCCACGGTCCATCCGTACAGGTCCTTGTAAGAAAGATGGTGAGTGCTATGCCATACCTGTCATGCTCACCCTGTGAGTCATCTCTGTACCCCGTCATGCCCTCCATCAATGGAGAGCAGGAGCTGCAGACAGTAGCACATAGTACGCTTTCTACCCACCCACACACGTAACAAATGCAAATACACACCCTCACTCTCACCTGCTTCTCGTTCCGCTTGACTGTCTCTAGTGACTCATCCCTGTACCCCGTGATGCCCTCGTCACTGGAGAGGTGCCGACAGGAGAGCAGCACATAAGCTTCCTTCGAATCCTTTTCACTTACAAGTACACCTCTGCCCCTAAACGCACACACCTGTTTCTCGTTCCGCTTGACTGTCTCCAGCGAGTCGTCCCTGAACCCCGTGATGCCCTCGTCAATGGACAGCAGCAAGAGCTGCAGGCGGTGGCACATACACAGCCAATGCACGCACTCTCACCACAGGCACACCCACCCCCACTTCATCTCACCTGCTTCTCGTTCCGCTTGACTGTCTCTAGAGAGTCGTCCCTGTACCCCGTGATCCCTTCGTCAATGGAGAGCAGAAACAGCTGCAGGCCATAGTCATGGCGAGTGTTGAGGAGGGATATGATGTGCGCAAGTACGGTGGAGTCTGGGGGGTGGGGTGGGGGGGATGGATGAAGGATAACAAGCGCGCTCTGGGAGTTGACCTCACACAGGAACAGCTGCAGGCCGTAGTCGTGGCGGGCGTTGAGGAGAGACATGATGTGCGCAAGCACCGTGGAGTCTGGCGAATGGAGGGATGGGAGAGGGAGGAGGGGTGATTTTAGAGAGATTTGAACTTTTGAGTCGACTCAAAAGTCAATGGGAGAGGGAGGAGGGGTGATTTTAGAGAGATTTTAAAACTGGATCCACTTTGAGTAGGAGTGGGAGATGATGTGGCATATGCACTCTGGGAGTTGACTGACTGACTGACTCGGAGAGCAGGAAGAGCTTCAAGCTGTAGTCGTGGCGAGCGTTGAGGAGAGACATGATGTGCGCAAGCACGGTGGGGTCTGGGGGATGGAGGGGGGGGGGGGAGGAGAGGTAAAGGGAGAGGTGGGGGGGTGAGCTGCAGGATCAAGAGTATGCTCTGTAAGGATACTCCAACCGCAGGAAGAGCTGCTGCAGACCGTAGTCGTGGCGCGCGTTGAGGAGATAGATGAGATGGTGTGAGCAAGCGAGCACTGTGGAATCTGGGGATGGAGACAGGAAGGGAAGAGGCAAAAAGGACTCTTTGTGAAGCCTCTGGGTTCAGCAACGGCTGGAGGGAGGGAGATGGGTGCACTACAGTAGGAAATCGAAAGCTTGCATAGGGACACCTAAAGGTTCTAAAGGATGAAAAGATCAAGCTTTGAGGCGCCTGGAAACTCACATCTGAAGGCTATAAAGGATGAGAGGATCAAATGCTTGTACCCAACTCACCCTTGCCCCCCGATGCGGCCACTGCGACCTTCTCTCCTCGCTTGACGAGCTTGCTCTCCACGATGGTGGCATGGCATGGATCTCACACATGTCGTGAGGCGCCTTTAATACAAGCCGTGAATCGTGGCATGGATGGATGTCCCACTTGTACGCACGGAAGGAGAAGCACCCTTTGTTCATCTGAAGGCCGTAAAGCCTATATGGGATGGGAATGAGGCCGTCAACGGCTGCTACTCACCCTTCCCCCCTGACGCAGCCACTGCCACCTTCTCCCCTCGCTTGAAGAGCCTGTTTTCCACGATGGTGGCATGGATTTCGGACTCGAACAGACGGAAAAAGCACTCCTTGCACAACTGGGGGGAGAGCAGGGGGGACAATTGGTGGACGCAACGAAGCATGGAATGATTGGAAATAACACATTCAGGACAAGGGACAAGGGGAGGGGGAGAATCAACGGGACAAGGGGAGGGGGGGATCAATGGGACAAGGGGAGGGGGGGATTGGCGGGCGCGGGGGGAGGGGAGATGGGGGCAAGGGGGATAAGCAGGCGGAAACACGCGGGGGGAGCGAGCGCACCTGCTGGCCGGTCTTGGGCCGTTTCACCATGGCGCGCTGCTCTCCGCAATCCCCGCACAGCAGTCTTCCGCCTCCGCTCCCCCGCGCCCTCACCGCTGCCCCGCTTCCGCTAATGCGCACGCTCGGCGCACTGCTGCCGCGGCTGCTGCTGTCTCTGCTGTCGCTGCTAGTGGAGATAGCGCTACAAGTAACATCAACATTAGCCGTAACATTCGCGGTAACACTAGTGGTAACACTGCTTGTGGACGTGGTAACGGGGGGAAAGGAGCCGCAGGCATGACCGGATCTACTGCAACCGCCACTGACGGAAGAACAGCTGCCTGATTGAATGACACTGTTACTGTCCTCGTCACAGTTGCACCCGTTACACGGCCGAGCACAGTCTATGCTATCGCAAGTGGAAGTCATTCTCGAAGCTTGCTCGCTTAGACTCGCGTGAGGCTCGCTACAAGCACACGCGTTTCCGATTGCAACCATGACGCACGGCGAGCGAGCGAGCAAACTACCAGTGCTAGAATTAGGGTTCTGTTTAGAGTGGTTCCCGCTAAGCCACCACTGGATCAAAATTCCTGAATTGTTGCGGTGCCTGTACTCAAGAATTTTACTAGGTCCTACTTGTTCTGGAGCAACTCCCTCGTGTACACTCGAGTGCAATCGACAATGTGATAATGAGTTGCGCATTAACGAGTGAACACTTCAAAACCCAGAACCTGGAGACGTTGACCTAGTTTTGTGCGACGTGCAGTCGCAATTCCGTGTCGAGGAAAACTCCGTTTACTCGCCACCACTGCCAACACGACCTCAAGTCGCAGTGCGTGCTGTGACATTTCGCAAACGTCTTCGCGATAACAGCCCTGTTTTTTGGCGGTCCGCCGTTTGTTTATCGTCAGTTGGTAGATTCTCCGTCATCCGCTGATCCAACCTTGGGCCCAGTTTGGCAGGCATCATGGTCATTATGGCCACAATGGGCATTTCTAACGGGCCCCCAAAAAATGCCGCCTGGGCATTTCGAGAAACAGCATCGAAATCGGATTGTAGCTGCAGTGCACATTCGGAAAAACGGGGTGGAGTGTTTGGTTGGCATTATTTGGGTGTAGATTGATGGCATCTATCGAGATTTCGGGTTTTGCGGAAGATGGTAAGAAGTTGCCATGATGGTTCGCGTGATCATGTGATTGGCTGGCATATTTGACCAGTCACTTTTGATTGCCCCGAATCACTGATACCCCGCATAGTGCGTGGCCTCGAGGCCGCATGGTGCGGGGGATCAGAGAATGGGCACTTTGCCAGAGAAACTCGTTTGGGTGTAGATTCCGGCGGTTGAAAACGCCTGCAAAAAAAGGGGTGTTTGGTTGGCATTCCATTATTGTCAGGTTCGGTGTAGTCCGCTTATATCGAGCCTTGATAGCCTTTAACGCGCTTATCAAGGAAGGTTCCAGGATGGTCGGTTCACTGTAGCCCATCCCCCTCGCCCGTTTTTTTTATGCCTGCCAAACTGGGCCTTGGGATCTACGTCCACAAACCTCCACAGCTTTCATCTTCCTTCCACGGGGTGTCATGAGAGCTCTTCCTCCACAATGACGCTTGATTTTTGCAAATATCGAGAAAAACCTGACACGAGGGTGGAGTGTGGAGCAAAGTTGGCAAACAGTTCAGAGGCTGTAAAGGAATTACGTTAAGTGGCTCGAAAGGTCACCAAAGTATCTTGTTGAACTCCAACTCCAACTCCTCACAGCAACCTCGAATCCTCTCCGCCATGGCTCCTCTTGGAAACTTCAGCAGCCTCAATGTCAAGCTAATCTAAATCAGTTTCAACATCTGAATACGTTTTCGGGATCTACTAATCAAGAGCTAGCTTACGATACCTTTTTTGTGTTCACAAAGAGAACATCGGTTCATCGTTGCTGCTCTTGTAAAAACTCGATTTCAGGTTCTGAACTGCATTTAAAGCTCAAGACATTGCTATAGCAGCTTCCAAGGAAGATATAATGGCTTGGTTAATATCAGAGAGTTACTCGAGATGGCAACGGGAAAGTGAAGAAGCCTCGAGACAAAGCAGAAAACGGAAATACAAGAAAGCTGGTCAACGCAATGTATTCCGTCTAACAATCTTTGCTGCCATTCAACGGCAACCAGGGAGAATCGGCGCTATAAGCCAAGTGTGGACACCTGTACGACCTCCGGAAAAAATGGTTAAGACTGGTTCAGATGCGGCTATTAAGGAAACAACGTCCATAGCATCAACAGAGCGTGAAGTCACTGCTACTCTCATCATGGCTTTTGACATGTTCGAAGATGAAGAGTTATTTCCTACGTTAGGAGGTGAATACTTCAAATCTAACTTTCAGGACAACAAGAAGGCAAATGAAGCCGACGCCGCTGGAGTTACTAAGAAGATACAAGAAATATATATGCAACTTGAAGATACAGATTCATGGCGCCAAGGTAGTGAGAAGCTCCCCTCAGCAGGAGCCATTAATAATATCTCTGAAGGCGTTTTCTTTGGAGAGAGTACGAGAACATCAGTAGCAGCTCCAGCTGCTGCAAACTTCCGGACCACATTGCCTCACCCACCATTGATGGAACACCCAACCACAGTTGCCATTGCAACCGCTCTCCACCGCATTAGAAGAGAAGTGACAAGTGCAACTGCTGCAACCACTTTCTGGGTCACTAGACACGGCGAGTTCTCTTCACAACCCAAGCAGGTCAAAAGTCCAAGAGTTATTCCAAACGGGCAAGACAATATTTTCAGGCACTTGGTGTTTAGACCCCCATAAGAGGTTCAGAGGGTACGGTATAGTGTACCTAAGCCCTACGAGGGCCAGTACATTGACCTAAGCCCTCCCCGAAACGGTTACGACCGCCGGTGTTTAGCATTGCACAATCTCATTATATAGTGCATTTCACCTCAAAAAAAAAAAAACAATCCTACCCAACCATTCAATTTACGAGTTTACCGTTTTGCAGCGTACAAAACCGTTGAACCGTTTGTAAGTGGATTATTTTATCACACGCGATCAACTGCTATCTTCCCCCTTTTCCGTAGTTTCATCCTTGGGACTTCAGCGATCCCAGCCCAGCAACTCCAGCTTCGCCTAGTCGCCCATCCTCGACGTCACGCCATGGCACCGGAGGTGAGCCTCTTCGCTCGATCGCTCGTTTGCCGTGAGCCTTGCGACAGCTCGCGTGTCCTCAGAGACCTTGTTTACTACCTTCAAATGCTTTAGTGTTCTGGCATCTAGAGCTGGTTTGACCCGATCAAGAGCCAATGCGCGATCGCGAGCTCGCGATCGGGATCGAATGCTTTAAGGATAATTAAATGGGACGGAGTAATCTCTCGCGTACTTAAGCTTGAGCTCGAGGATCGTTGCCTAAAAAACAAAGCTAGGGCAAACACACGCGAAGCGCTACGATCATCGTCCAGTTTGCGTGAGAGTTACGGGAGTTACGCACTCAGAAGCTTCGGCGTTGTTCGCAGCAGTGCCAGCAGGGACATGTGTAGCTGCTTGCATCGTACCAGCTTCGGAATAGCTTTAAACCGCAGAGAACTGAGTTTTTTTTATCTCAAACGGTACCATATCTCAATATATTATTCCTGTTCTCTCTCCCACGCTCCTTTGTTCTCCTTTCGTTTTCTTTCGTGTTGTCTCCCTTTACAATTACAGGAGAAGGATCCCCAGGCAGCTGCAGCAGCAGCACCGCCTCCCCCTGAGGCCAATGCGGCTGCTGGAGAGAAGGAGGAGGACCCTGAGAGGAAGAAGAAGAAGGAGGAGAAGGTGGGCCTCGTAGTGGTGACGATACTGAGGTACTTCAGATCAGATCAGATCAGAGGATCCTATCTTTTGCTTCGTCTAGTCCGCAGTTGGTCCGCAGTGAGGACTGTTCACAAGCAGTGTGCAGCATGGCAAAGGTCACCCAAAGCCATGGCTGTACACGAATTTCGGCTCGCGTCAGTGTATCGATCTTTGAATCAACTCGCAAGTGACCTTATTGCATCAGCGCAAGTCTCAAGATTTCTTGCAAGGGTGGCCATAGTCTTTCCTGAATGGCTCGCGTGGTTGGCACGCCCGAGACAGTGTAGGGAGGGACGATAAATGGACGGTCCTGATTACCATCCCAGCCAGGTCATTGGTCATCACCTGTTACTGTTTAGTGTCGCGAGCAGGATTCTCACGAGTCCACTTTTGTCACAGTCCGTCCGTCATTGTCACCACTGACAGGATAGGACGTACAGAACGTCTTCTCCTCCATGTGGGTTCCGTATCATGGCCTCCTCATTGATCTTGCTTCTTCACCACCCGGTTCCGTTTTGTCAACCCTCGTTACTATCACCCCTCCATGATTTCAAACACAGGCGCGGGAGAAGGAGCTGAAGAAGCAGAAGGCAGCGGAGAAGGCAGCCAAGGCCAAGGCAGCCGCTGCTGCTGCCGCTTCTGCTGAGGTACGTGCGAATTGTGCCCCTTTTTCCCTCTGGCTCCTGTTGTGTTTATCGTTTTAAAGCTGCGGTCTACATTCTAAGTGGTGTATTTTGGGGGTATTTTTTATGCCCACCCTTTCGTGCGGCCTGATTGGAGAACGAAGTCAGCATGTTTCAGAAACACCGCAACGACGAACTCAGACAGGAAAAACGAATCCAGCCCAACTTCGTGCTGACGCGTGGTTTGGGGGAAGGGTCTGCGGAAGGGCGGGAAACAACCTGGGGAGTTCGGTTTAGGGCGGAAAGAACCCCAACCCCCTCTCTCCACCCCCCTCAACCGTTAGCTTTGCATGAAAGGGGGCCGAGTCCAAAAACGGGTCACCCTGTTTTCAAGTGATAAACTCAGGCCTCCCGCTCGTAGTATGTAGACCGCAGCTTTAAAGGCAACTGATTCTGCAAATGTGCGGAGGACTGTGTCATTTGTGAGATTAGTGGGCTTCTTTTTTGTTAAGATTGGTGACTTGAAGTATGACAAGCATGCCCCTCCTTCTCTCTTCCCTACCCCCCTCCCTCTCTCCCTCTCCCGTTTTCCATATGTGCCTGCTCTTGCTTCTCCAGCCGTCCAAGAAGGCCGAGGCGAAGGCAAAGAAGGCAGCAGCGGCAGCAGCAGGGGGGGGGGCAGGCGAGGAGGCAGATGCAGCGAATCCGCCCACGGAGCCTGGGCAGAAGAAGCACCTCGCCAAGGAGATGGCCAAGGCGTACAACCCCAAGGCCGTTGAAGCATCGTGAGTATAGATCAACACTGTACATAGTAACGAGTCAGTTCTATAACGCGTATTAAGTGTATTCGGCCCCACGGAGCCCGGGCAGAAGAAGAACCTCGCCAAGGAGATGGCCAAGGCGTACAACCCCAAGGCCGTTGAAGCATCGTGAGTGTAGATCAACACTGTACATAGTAAGGAGTCAGTTCTATAACGCGTATTAAGTGTATTCGGCCCCACGGAGCCCGGGCAGAAGAAGAACCTCGCCAAGGAGATGGCCAAGGCGTACAACCCCAAGGCCATTGAAGCATCGTGAGTGTAGATCAACACTGTACATAGTAACGAGTCAGTTCTATAACGCGTATTAAGTGTATTCGGCCCCACGGAGCCCGGGCAGAAGAAGAACCTTGCCAAGGAGATGGCCAAGGCGTACAATCCCAAGGCTGTTGAAGCATCGTGAGTGTAAATGAACATGCTCGGGTTCCCTTGGGTTTGCCTGGGTTCCCCTGGCGTGTCTGTACATAGTAACGAATCAGGTCTATAAGCGGATGCAGTGAATTTGCCCACAGAGGCCGGGCAGAGGAAGAACCTCGCCAAGGAGATGGCCAAGGTAGGGGTGAGCAAGGGGCGAACACGAACGTGTTTGTGTTCGCCCCTGCACGAACACAGCCGTTCGCTGAACCGAACACTGTTCGGTTCGGCGAACACTTTTAGCCAAAAAGGGTGTTCGGTGTTCGCCTGTGAAGGCGTGTTCGGGCGAACCTCGAACACGTTCGTGTTCGACGCGGGGCAAATTGCAGCAGCGCCCCGAACACGAACATGTTCGGGCGAACATCGAACATGGTCGCCCCGAACACTTAAGGCAAAAAAAAAAGCCTGTTCGGTTTGCCTCGAACGTGTTCGAGGCGAACCGAACAGGCGTTCGTGATTTTGCTCACCCCTAGGCCAAGGCGTACAACCCCAAGGCCGTTGAAGCATCGTGAGTGTGGATGTACTGTACATAGTAACGGATCCGTTCTATAATGTGGATGCAGTGTAACCGTCCATGAAGGAGCCTAGCCTAGGCAGGCGAAGAATCTTGCTAGTCGAGTTGGAACTTGGAGGCGTAGCTCACACAAGTTGTATCATCGATGAAGATACGACTGGAGCACAGTGCACTGCGTCTGCTCTCACCCCTTCCCACCCCGCCTTGCTCCTTGTCGTCCTCGCTTGGCCTCACGACCCCACCAGGTGGTACGAGTGGTGGGAGCACGCAGGGTTCTTCAAAGGCAACAACCAGAGCACCAAGCCTCCCTTCGTCATTGTAAGCACGCTTGTCCCTCTTGTATTCCTGCGTCAATTGCGTTGCATCTGAGATGAGCCCATTGTTGCTTGCTTACCCACCCACTCTCTCTGCTCGCTGCTCTCCACCCCTTTCCACTGCTCCACCCCTCCCTCTCCTGCTGGTGGTGCCTCCTCCCAATGTGACGGGTGCGCTGCACATCGGGCACGGGCTGACAGCAGCAGCAGAGGAGCTTCCCTTCCCCATGTCCTCCCTTCCCCACACTCCCACATCAACCTTTCTCCTTTCCCTTCTCCCCTCCCGCAACCCCACTTCTCCCGTACAGGTGGTGCCTCCTCCCAATGTGACGGGAGCGCTGCACATCGGGCACGGGCTGACGGCAGCAGTGGAGGGGCTTCCCTTCCCCTTGTCCTCCCATGATCCCTAAACTCTTCCTCTTTTCTCGTTCCTCTTCCTGCAGGTCGTGCCTCCCCCCAATGTGACGGGAGCGCTGCACATTGGGCACGGGCTGACAGCAGCAGAAGAGGATCTTTCCTCCCCCCTGTCCACACACCCATGACCCCCAAACTCTTCCTCATCGCTCATTCCCGAACCCTTATCCGGGCTCTCGGCCCCCAATCTCTCCCATGCAGGTGGTGCCTCCTCCCAATGTGACGGGAGCGCTGCACATCGGGCACGGGTTGACAGCAGCAGTGGAGGACACGATCGTGCGGTGGAAGAGAATGAGTGGCTACAACGTGTGCTGGGTACCTGGAACGGATCATGCCGGCATTGCCACCCAGGTGTGTTTGGGTGAACTGAAGGTGCTTGGGTTGGGTCTGGTGTGTGTGGCATCGCATCGCCACCCAGGTGCGATTTGAAGGTGCTCAGGTAAAGTCGGCATGCATCGCCCGTGTGTGGCTGAAGGTACTCGAGTCTGCTGTGTGTTTGGACTCTGGTGGGGCTGGGCTGGGCTGGGCTGACAGCAGCAGTGGAGAGGACTCTATCGTGACTTTGAGTCGACTCACATCACAACCCTCTCCTCTCGATAATCTCATCGTTCCCCTCTGTTCATCGCCCCTCCATCCTTCTGGCAGGTGGTGGTGGTGGAGAAGCTGATGAGGGAGAACGGTCTGTCTCGCCACTACATGACTTTCTGTCCACTCATCACCCACTTCTCTCATCACCTCATTGTCCCCCTTCCCTCCCCTCCCCTCCCCTCCCCTCCCCTCCCCGCCTCTCCATCCATCTGCCCAGGTGGTGGTGGAGAAGAAGCTGATGAGGGAGAAGGGTCTGTCTCGCCACGACGTGACTTTGAGTCAACGCACAACCCTCCATCACCTCCTCCCCTCCCCTCCCCTCCCCTCCCCTCCATTCATGTGGCAGGTGGTGGTGGAGAAGAAGTTGATGAGGGAGAAGGGTCTGTCTCGCCACGATGTGACTTTGAGTCAACGCACAACCCTCCATCACCTCCTCCCCTCCCCTCCCCTCCCCTCTCCTCCATTCATGTGGCAGGTGGTGGTGGAGAAGAAGTTGATGAGGGAGAAGGGTCTGTCTCGCCACGACGTGGGCAGGGAGGACTTTGTCAAGGAGGTATGCTTAACCGGCACGGCACGGTCATTCTCCGTTACAGGCCAGTGTGGCGATTGTTGCTTAATAACTTTTCTTTCTTGCTTGCTTGCTGTTTTCTCACAAGGGTTCTTTCTAGGGCTCAATTTTGATTTTTCTCCGTGCATGACCACGTAATCGACTCAAATGACGCCTCTTGCCTGCTGTGCCTGTATGTATCGCGTGCTTGCTTGCTTGCTTGCTTTCTCTCTCTGCGAGTGCAGGTGTGGAAGTGGAAGGAGGACTATGGAGGCCGCATTGGGAACCAGCAGCGCAAGATGGGGGCTTCTCTTGACTGGTCCCGAGAGGTGAGCAGGCGTGAGCATTGGTGAATATGCAGGTGGTCGAACGGACCGAACCTTGGTTCTTGGTCCAGTGCTTCACCATGGCGTGGACGACAAGTTGTCTCACACCGTAGGCATTACACATACGCTTCTCTCGTCTTGAAATCCCACCTTTTCCCTTCTTTCCGCTCCTCTCCTCATCCCCCCCCCACAGTCCTTACCGTGGACGACAAGCTCTCTCGTGCTGTAGGCACGGTGAGGCCCCAGAACCCTTTTCACTAACCAACCATCTCCCCCCATCTCCACTCCATCCCCAACCTTTCCCCCCCAGTGTTTCACCATGGACGACAAGCTGTCCCGTGCCGTAGGGCCGTAGGCATCACACATGCCCCTCTTTCATCCAAACCAACCTCCCACTTCCTTCCCTCCACTCCTTCCCCCAGTGCTTCACCATGGACGACAAGCTGTCCCGTGCCGTCACAGAGGCATTTGTCAGGCTGCACGACCAGGGGCTCATCTACAGGTGAGTGGTGGGTGCTGTGGGGTGCTGTGGGGCTGGTTGCATGCTCGTTGAGGCACTTTACGCAGAGTTTGCCAGGCTGCACGGCGGGGGGCTCATTTACCAGTGGGTAGCTTATTCTGTGTGGGGAGGGGGGGGGGGGGGGGCTGGTTATTTTCTCATCAGAACTCCCAAAAAGCAAGCGGTGTGTAACTTATCCTGTGTGGAGGGGATGGGGCTGGTTATACGCTGTTCGGCAATCAGCCAATGGCAGCGAACCAGGCATCTTTGGGATTTTCCTGGATAACACCCCCTCGTCCCGATTTTGCTCTGCAAAGTATTTTTATCTTGCCTCTATCCCTGCCTCGTCTCCCCGCCTGCCTCCTGCGTATATTCCCTTATGTCCCTGCAGGGACATCCGCATGGTGAATTGCAAAGATGAGCAACGGATCGACCCAAACCAGATGATGACTCAACTGTGTCTTTTAAGTCGACTCGTCACCCTCTTCGCCCCTCTCCCTGCCTCTCTGTCCCCTCCTCTCCCCGGCCTGCTTTCCATGTCTCCGTTCCCCCCTTGCTTTTGCCAGGGACAACCGCCTGGTCAACTGGGACTGTGTCCTCCGAACAGCCATCTCCGATATTGAGGTACAGTGTTTGCTCGTTTTAGGCATCCATGGTTTCAAGATGAGTTGCTGCTTTATCGTAGGCATCAATGTGAGAGAGGTGGTGGTGGTATCACTTGTTAGCTGACTTGTTAATGCTTCTAGTCTATTGACTCCGTCTTTCATTCCCTTCCCAAGTGGAGCACCACGAGCTCAAGGGGCGAACCTTCCTCCCTGTCCCAGGCTACCACAAACCGTGGTTGTGAACTTGTATTATCTGACACACGTTCTCCCCCAGTAGCTGAATCGCTCATCTATCCGCCCCCTGCCATTTCCGTCCCAGGTGGAATATCACGAGCTGAAGGGGCGCACGCTCCTCCCTGTCCCAGGCTACGACAAGCCAGTGTTGCATGCACGTTATGAGCTGAACCACTATTGTTTAAATCCTTACCTTCCCTTCTTTCCTTACCAGGTGGAGTATCACGAGCTGAAGGGTCGCACGCTCCTCCCTGTCCCTGGCTACGACAAACCCGTGGAATTCGGAGCCATCACCTCGTTCGCATACCCCTTAGAAGCAGACTCAGCACAGGGAGAAGGCGCCGCTGGTGCAGGCAGCGAGGGGGCTCTGACTGAGATTGTGGTGGCAACCACCCGGCCGGAGACCATGCTGGGAGATACGGCAGTGGCGGTTCATCCGGATGATCCTCGTTATAAGGCGCTTCACGGCAAGTTTGCGGTGCACCCGTTCAGCGGGAGGCGGATTCCGATTGTGTGCGATGCTGAGCTGGTGGACATGGCGTTTGGAACTGGCGCTGTGAAGGTGAGAGCAATCGAAGGGGGGAGGGAGGGTGAGGGAGTTGGGCGAAGAGGATGGGAAGGTAAGCAGTTGCTGAAAGGATTCCGATTGTGTGCGCTGTGAAGGTGAGAGCGAGCAAGGGGGAGTGGGAAGGGGGGTGTAACTTGCAAGGATTGAATAAAAGAATCCTAATTGTGTGTGATGCGGAGCTGGTTGATATGGCGTTTGGGACCGGTGCTGTCAATGTGAGAGCAAGGGGGAGCGAGGTGGGCTAGGGGATGGGGTGGGATGGGGTGTGGGATTCCGATTGTGTGCGATGCTGAGCTGGTGGATATGGCGTTTGGGACCGGTGCTGTGAAGTGAGGATGAGAGGAAGGGGGGTGGCGGATGGCAGTGGGAAAATTGAAGGTTGGGGTAGGGGTTTCTAGGAGGTTGACAAATTGAAAATTGAAGGTTGGAGTAGTGGATGGATGCCACGGGAGGGAGGAGTAGGGGCGTGGGTCCTATTCTGATCTGATCCCCCTCTCTCTCACCCATCCATTCTTCCTAACGTTCCTTGATGTGCTTTTTAAGGCGCCTCAGAATTCCGTTGCTCCTTAAGTTCCTTACTTAATTCCCTTGCACCCAAACTCTCATTCCGACTTACTCTCTCTCTCCTCTCCCTCATTTCACCATCAGATCACTCCCGCCCACGACCCCAACGATTTCGCCACGGGCAAGCGGCACAACCTGGAGTTCATTAATATCTTCACGGACGATGGGCTGATCAATGCTAACGGTGGGAAGGAGTTTGAAGGGATGAAGCGGTTTGACGCTCGCACGGCTGTTCTGGAGAAGCTGCAGGAGAAGGTGGGTGGTTGCTGTGTGTGTGGGGAAGTCAATGCATTCCTGCCATTGACCCTCCAGGCAACTCAATAGTCACCTCAGCAGTTTCAACTTCGTTACGCGCACGGATGTGCTGGAGAAGCTGCAGGAGAAGGTAAGAAGGGTTGTCGGTCGGGATGCACCCACACATGTGCGCGCGCACACAAGGCAAGCGGCATGGGGCGGCAGAGTAACGTGGGTCTGCAGGAAAGCAAGCACACACACTTGCATGGTAAGCGGAGCAGCAGACAACCCCATGCGCCTGGGCTTCTGTTCGCGCAGCAAGGACATCATAGAGCCCATGCTCAAGCCTTCAAGTCTCTCTGTTTCATACAAATACTCTTTGCATCCCTCCCTCACCTCTCTACTCTCAGGGTCTCTACAGGGGAGTGGCAGACAACCCCATGCGCCTGGGCTTCTGTTCGCGCAGCAAGGACATCATAGAGCCCATGCTCAAGCCACCTTCCCTCCCCATCTCCCCCTCTATCCCCATTGCCTCTCAACTCCTTTCTGTCCCTTTCTCAGGGTCTCTACAGGGGCGTAGCGGACAACCCCATGCGGCTTGGCTTCTGTTCCCGCAGCAAGGATATTATTGAGCCCATGCTCAAGCCGCAGTGGTATGTCAGCTGCGCTGACGTGGCGGCTGACGCGTGCCAGGCTGTCAGGGACGGCCAGCTGGAGTTCATCCCCAAGGCGCATGAGGAGACGTGGTTCAGGTGAGTGCTTCTCTTACAACTAGGTTGTTTGGTTGCTAGGACATGCAGGGCAGGGTGTTATTATGGCAGGATAGCATGTGAGGGACGGCCAGCTGGAGTTCATCCCCAAGGCGCATGAGGAGACGTGGTTCAGGTAAGCAGTGTACTGGGGAAGGCGGTTACTGGGTTAGGTGGTTACTGGGGCAGACTGTAATTAAAGGTGGTTACCTGGCCAACTGTGCCAGGCTGGCTGTGAGGGACGGCCAGCGGAAGCTCATCCCCAAGGCGCATGAGGAGACGTGGTTCAGGTGGGGTGGGTAGTGCTTCTATGCAGGAGGGGTTGACTGGCTGTGATTGGTGCATGTCCCGGCAGCTCTGGTGGGGTTACTGCATTGTTGTTCCTTCATATGCGCATTCTCCATGCCCCACTAACTCCCCTCCCCCACTAACTCCCTATGCCAACCCCCCACCGTGAACATTCGTGATTGGTGGATATCCCGCCAGCTCTGGTGGGGCCACTACATTGTTCCTTATTATGCGCACTCTACATACGTGCCTCACCTACTCTTCTCCCCCTGCCCACCCCCCACCATTCCCCCTTCTCCTACCTCCTTCCCCATTCCCTTTCCTGGTTCCAGATGGCTGGAGAACATCCGTGATTGGTGCATTTCCCGCCAGCTCTGGTGGGGCCACCGCATCCCGGCGTGGTACGTCACCTTCGACCAATCAGACGAGGCCGCCGCCCGCGACTTCCCCGTCCGCGATTTCGGCGCTTACAACACCAACTGGGTCGTCGCCCGCACCGACGACGAAGCGCGCCGGGCAGCCGAAATAAAGTTCCCGGGCAGAAAATTCGAGATCGGGCGGGACCCGGATGTGCTGGACACGTGGTTTTCGTCGGGGCTGTTTCCGTTCTCCGTGTTTGGGTGGCCGGAGGAGAGTGCTGATTTCAAGGCGTTTTATCCCACCGCGCTGCTGGAGACGGGGCATGACATCCTCTTCTTCTGGGTCGCCCGGATGGTCTTCATGGGGCTTCGGTTGACAGGACAGCTGCCCTTCAAGCAGGTGTGTGTGTGTGTGGTTGGGTGCAAAGGAGTGAAAGGGTTGCAAAGGGGTGCAAGGGTTTGAAAAGGGATGTTCGGATGGTGCCATGGTGAGGGATTCCTATGGGCGCAAGATGTCCAAATCCCTGGGCAACGTGATCGACCCTCTTGAAGTGATCAACGGCATCTCCCTGCAGCAGCTTCCATCCACCCCTCTCCCACTCTTTTCGCTTTTAATCTCCCTACTGCTCCCCCACAGGTCTACCTGCATGCCATGGTGTGAGACGCTCATGGCCGGAAAATGTGCAAATCCCTTGGAAACGTCATCGACCCCCTGGAGAGGTCATCAACGGCATCACCCTGCAGCAGCTGATGGCGAACCTCCATAAACCCCTCATCATCCGTTCTTCTCTCTGTGCCTCTCCTTTCACCTCCCCACAGGTCTACCTACACGCCATGGTGCGCGATGCTCACGGCCGAAAGATGTCCAAATCCTTGGGCAATGTGATCGACCCTCTGGAGGTGATCAACGGCATCACCCTGCAGCAGCTGCAGGCGAACCTCGAGAAGGGCAACTTGGACCCGCGGGAGGTGAAGAAGGCGCAGGCAGGCCAGGCCGCGGATTTCCCCAACGGCATTGCTGAGTGCGGCTGCGACGCCCTGCGATTCGCCCTCGTCAACTACACCACTCAGGTGGGTACCGGGTTCCTTTGGGTGTTAGTGTGAATGAGGTTGGCTTCCCTGCAGCAGCTGCAGGCGAACCTCGAGAAGGGCAATCTGGACCCGCGGGAGGTGAAGAAGGCCCAGGCAGGGCAGGCTGCGGATTTCCCGAATGGGATTGCCGAGTGTGGCTGCGACGCCCTGCGCTTCGCGCTCGTCAACTACACCACTCAGGTGCGGTTATTGTCTCGCTTTCATGTGAACATTTATTGATCTCTCGACGCTTGTCCGCCTCTGGTGCAACAAGCTGTGCTGTGGATGGGAGACGACTCACTCACTGCTCAACTACTCTTACCTGTTCCCCTCTCCTTTCTGCTGTCCCCTACCTACCCACCCAACCCCCAGTGGATGAACATCAATCTGGACATTCAGCGAGTGCACAGCTACCGCCTCTTGTGCAACAAGCTGTGCTGTGGATGTGAGACAACTCATTCACCACTCTACTGCCCCACCTCTCCTCACTCTCCGCCCTCTCTCTCTGCCCTCTCCTCCCAACCCCCAGTGAATGAACATCAACCTGGACATTCAGCGAGTGCACGGCTACCGCCTCTGGTGCAACAAGCTGTGCTGATGTGGGATGACTGACAGTCCCTTGCCCCCTTGCCCTCCCTATCCACCCCCAGTGGATGAACATCAACCTGGACATCCAGCGAGTGCACGGCTACCGCCTCTGGTGCAACACGCTGTGATGTGGTTGTGAGAAGGCTCACTTACCTGCTCAACCTCCCTGCCTCGTGCCCTCTCTTCCCCCCTTCTTCAGTGGATGAACATCAATCTGGACATCCAGCGAGTGCACGGCTACCGCCTCTGGTGCAACAAGCTCTGGAACGCAATCCGATTCGCCATGCTCAACCTCGGGGACTCCTTCACGCCCCCGTCCGTCCTCCCCCAACCCTCCTCCTCCTCCTCCTCCTCCGCCTCTCCTGCCCTCACTCCCACGCTCAACTTTGCCTTCTCTGCGCCGCTCCCGCTGTCCTGCCGCTGGATTCTCTCGGTGCTCAACGCTGCGGTTACGCGTGCGGTAACCGCGCTGGAGGGGTATGACCTGGCAGAGGCGACCAACGCAGCGTACGCGTGGTGGCAGTACCAGCTGTGCGACGTTTTTATCGAAGTGGCCAAGCCGGCCTTTAACGCTGCTGAAGGGGAGGAAGCGTTGAAGCTGAAGCAGGTGGGTCAACAGGGCTAGGCAAGGGCTGCACTGCACAAGCAGCTCACATGTGCATGCGTGGTGGCAGTACCAGCTGTGTGACGTTTTTATTGAGGTTGCTAAGCCGGCTTTCAACGCTGCCGAGGGGGAGGAAGCACTCAAGCTGAAGCAGGTGAGCGGTTGTTGTTGCAAGGCAAGGGCTGCACTGCTGCACAGAGAGAGTAGCCTGCCCATATCGCTCGTGTACGAGCACCTGCAGTGGATGCAGGCCGTCCGCTTCTTCCTCACCCGCTCAGGCCTCCACTCGCTTGACCTCTGCTTCACCAAACCCGAGCATCTTCCCACTCTCGGCGCCTCGTCGTACACGAGCGATATGGGCTTGCTCTCCTGCGATTTTTGGGTGGGTGCGGGAGTGTTGTTTGTTGCTGGTAGTTGTGAAAAACGTTGTCCCATGGACTGAAATCAGGAAGCTGGAAAGTGAATGTTTGAAAGCTGATACATATACCTATGCACCCTGCCACAAATCGGAAAGCTGGAAAGGGAAAGTTTAGACGTTGTTGGGCAGTGGATAAGGCCTACGTAGGGCTGTTTTCTTTTAGCTCAATAAAGAGTTCGCAAGCGTTCCCCTCACCTCCATGCTTGACCCTCTGCCACCTCCCCCCACCGCCCTCCACCCCTCACAGGTGACGCGCGAGGTCCTCTGGGTGTGTCTGGACGCTGGTCTGCCTCTGCTGCACCCCTTCATGCCATTTATCACCCAGGAGCTCTGGCCCTTCCCTTTCCTCACCTCTATGTTGATCCCCCACCCACCCCTCTTCACCCCTTTCCAACTCTTTCCACCCCTCCCAACCATCTCAGGTGACGCGCGAGGTCCTCTGGGTGTGTCTGGACGCGGGTCTGCGTCTCCTCCACCCCTTCATGCCATTCGTCACGGAGGAGCTCTGGCAGCGCCTTCCCAAACCAGCCGACTACTCCTGGCCTTCCATCATGCTCGCCCCCTACCCATCTCCTGTCAAGGTATGCAAAGCAGAAGAATCTCTGTCCTCCCTATTCAGTCAAGTCAGCAGCCTATCACCGCCATTCGTCACGGAGGAGCTCTGGCAGCGCCTGCCCAAGCCAGCCGACTACTCGTGGCCCTCCATCATGCTCGCTCCTTACCCCTCGCCCGTCAAGGTACGTTCACGATGTCAAACTGTGCTGACGATACTGTCCTTCTATTCGGGCAAGTCAGCACCCTATCACTCTCGCTGCTCCATCCCGAAGAAGAAGCAATGATGGCAACGGAAGAGAGCGCAGTTCGCTCCATCCGCTCCCTGCGCATGGCGTATGCCCTGCAGCCCAAGCAGAGAGTGACTCTAAGTGTCCATTCCTCCACCTTGACACCCTTTTGCGCCCCTCTGCACTCCTCTGCACCCCTCTGCACCCATGGCAGGAGTGGGCAGATCCTGAAGCAGAAGCAATGATGGTGACAGCAGAAAGCGCGGTTCGCTCCATTCGCTCCCTGCGCATGGCCTATGCCCTGCAGCCCAAGCAGCGGCCCACCGCGTATGCTCAGTGCAAGAGCGAGGCTGCTACTGCTGCTGTGACGGCTGCTGTGGGGGAGATCAAGACTCTTGCCACACTCGCAGAGCTGCAGGTATCAAGGATGTAAAGGTGGGAAGGTATGTATAGCACAGAGGTCTGATAGACAGAGACAGGAGAGGCCCACCGCATATACCCAGTGCAAGTCTGAGGCCACTTCTGCTGCTGTGACGGCTGTTGTGGGGGAGATCAGGACGCTTGCCACACTCGCAGAGCTGCAGGTAAGCAGTAGTGATTGGAATGGCATAGGCAGTGGTCTGGCTAGTGTGTGCTCAGTGCAAGAGTGAGTGAGGCTGCTGCTGCTGCTGCTGTGGTGGCTGCTGTGTGGGGAAGATCAGGGCCCTCGCGACTGCAGGTAAGCAGCAATGGGGGGTAGGCATGGCACAGAGGGCTCACAGGCAGGCACGCAGCGTAAGCTCAGTGCTAGGCTGTTTCTGCTGCTGTGGTGGCTGCTGTGGGGGAGATCAGGACCCTCGCGATACTGACAGAGCTGCAGGTAAGCAGCAGTGAAGGGTAGGCCTGGCAGAGAGAGCTGACAGCCCGAGGCCTAAAGCATACTGGCAGGGTGTGCAGTGGCCATAGTGGATGAGAGTCTGTCCGTGCACGTGCTGCTCAGAGGCATGGTGGGCACTATGGCGGAAACGAAAGGAATTAACGAGGAAGGAGTAGAGGAAGCAGGTGGTGTGAAAAAAGAGGAACTTTAAATACAAGAACTTGTGGGGGGAGAGTTTTTTGGTCGCTGGTCAAGCCGGGCTGGTGCCGACAAGCATGTCCGCGAAGAACGGGTGAGGAGGTGACTTTTGAGTCGACTCAAAAGTCATCTGGTGCCGACACGCATGTCCGCGAAGAACGGGTGAAGGGAGTGCATGTCCACGGGCCGCGTAAGTTAGACTCAGGCGTGCACGAAAGGAAGTGGTCGGTTCTAATCTCAAACGCAGTGTGCACGCCTGACTCTAACTTTTGCGGCCCGTTGACACGCACTCCCTTCATTCGTTCTTCGCGGACATGCGTGTCGGCACCAGCCCGGCTTGACCAGCGACAAGACAAGTTCTCCCCCCGCATGTTCTTGTATATAAATTTCATTTTTTCCTCTCCTCTCCGCTCCAAGCACTCTTGTGTTCTTGGAGCGGGGAGGAGAGGAAGCATGTGGGGAGGAGAGGAAGCATGTGGGGAGGAGAGGAAGCATGTGGGGAGGAGAGGAAGCATGTGGGGAGGAGAGGAAGCATGTGGGGAGGAGAGGAAGCATGTGGGGAGGAGAGGAAGCATGTGGGGAGGAGAGGAAGCATGTGGGGAGGAGAGGAAGCATGTGGGGAGGAGAGGAAGCATGTGGGGAGGAGAGGAAGCATGTGGGGAGGAGAGGAAGCATGTGGGGAGGAGAGGAAGCATGTGGGGAGGAGAGGAAGCATGTGGGGAGGAGAGGAAGCATGTGGGGAGGAGAGGAAGCATGTGGGGAGGAGAGGAAGCATGTGGGGAGGAGAGGAAGCATGTGGGGAGGAGAGGAAGCATGTGGGGAGGAGAGGAAGCATGTGGGGAGGAGAGGAAGCATGTGGGGAGGAGAGGAAGCATGTGGGGAGGAGAGGAAGCATGTGGGGAGGAGAGGAAGCATGTGGGGAGGAGAGGAAGCATGTGGGGAGGAGAGGAAGCATGTGGGGAGGAGAGGAAGCATGTGGGGAGGAGAGGAAGCATGTGGGGAGGAGAGGAAGCATGTGGGGAGGAGAGGAAGCATGTGGGGAGGAGAGGAAGCATGTTCTACACCACATGCTCCCCACATGCTTCCTCTCCTCCCCGCTCCAAGCACTCTTTTATTTCATTCGTTTCCGTCATAGAGGATGCTTCACCCCGGCAGGTGTGCAATGGCGATAGTGAATGAGAGCCTGTCGGTGCACGTGCTGCTGAGAGCACTGATGCATACCTCTTCAGCCTGCCCCTTATCGCTCGCCTTCCCCGTCTCCCCTCTCCCCTCCCCCGTCTTCTCTCCCCCATCAGGTGCTCCCAGCAGGCGAATCAGCCCCGGCAGGGTGTGCAATGGCGATAGTGAATTAGAGCCTGTCCGTGCACGTGCTGCTGAGAGGGATGGTGGTGCTGCTGCTGCTGTTGCAACCTACTTCACAAGGTTCCCTTCCGCTCCCCACTACCCTCGATCCTCTCCCCTCACAGGTCCTACCAGGAGACGAATCCGCCCCAGCATGGTGTGCAGTGGCGGTTTGTGGATGAGAGCCTGTGAGTGCACGTGCTGCTGAGAGGCATGGTGCCATTCCAACCAGCCTTGCATTCCTCTTCTTCCAACCTTCTCGACCTGGCCCTTACCACTCTTTTTCCCCTTCTCCCCTCTCCCCTCGCCTCTCTCCCCTCACAGGTGCTCCCAGCAGGGGAGTCAGCCCCGGCAGGGTGTGCAGTGGCAATAGTGGATGAGAGTCTGTCCGTGCACGTGCTGCTGAGGGGGATGGTGGACGCCAAATCAGAGGCACAGAAGCTGGGCAAGCGCAAGGGCGAAACCGCCAAGTGAGTTCTGTGTGTAGTTGCTCAAAACCTCGTGTCGGTGCACGTGCTGCTGAGGGGGGTGGTGGATGCGAAAGCAGAAGCGCAGAAGCTGGGCAAGCGCAAGAACGAAACCTCCAAGTGAGTACTGGTGCTAGTTGGTTCACACTGTTAGCTCGCAGTTGGCCTTGCTGGTGTGCGCATACTGTCGGTGCATGTGCTGCTGAGAGGCATGGTGGATGCAACGGCGGAGACACAGAAGCTGGGCAAGCGCAAGAACGAAACCGCCAAGTGAGTGCCTCGCCTTGCTTGTCTCTTGTCTCTCTTGGGTTCACTCTAGAGTTGTCTGCGTGGATGAGAGCCTCCCAGTGCTGCTGAGAGGGATGGTGGATGCCAAGGCAGAGGCACAGAAGCTGGGCAAGCGCAAGAGCGAAACCGCCAAGTGAGCACTGGTCTTAGTTGATTCACACTGTTGCCTCACAGTACCCCTGGTGTGAACACCCCTGTCGGTGCATGTGCTGCTGAGAGGGATGGTGGATGCCAAGGGGGAAGCACAGAAGCTGGGCAAGCGCAAGAGCGAAACCTCCAAGTGAGTACTGGTCCTAGTTGGGTCACACTGTTAGCTCACAGTTGGCCTTGCTGGTGTGAACACCCCTATCCGCGCGTGCTGCTGAGAGGCATGGTGGATGCCAAGGCGGAGGCACAGAAGCTGGGCAAGCGCAAGAATGAAACTGCAAAGTGAGTTGACTTCTCATTGCTGATTTCATAAACATTTTCACCCATTCCCTCTAAAAAGCGCTTAGTGTATGTTTGAGAAGTAATATACACTACAGGCTACTAAACGAGGCTCCAACTGAGCGTGCTGGTATACGAGGAAAAAGGTGCCTTTTAGGGCTTGCTGTAAATACGATTTATAAGGCGCCGCAAAATTGGGTCCAATTGTCCAAGAATATGGTGTGCGGGGATGCGAGGAAAAGGTTCCTTCTAGGGAAAGCTTGACAGAGCTTGCTGTGAATACTCTGCATAATCTCTCTGTTGCCTTTTGACAACCATGCTCCAAGAAGCTATCACAAAGATGATGGGCATGCCGGGATACGAGGAGAAAGTGCCATCGAACGTGCGGGAGGAGAATGCCAGCAAGCTGTTACCCTCATTCTTCTGTTGACTTTGTAGTGTTTCGTTTCCTACCCCCCAGGCTCCAGTATGCTTTGGCAAAGAAGATGGGTGTGCCGGGGTACGAGGAGAAGGTGCCAGCAAACGTGCGGGAGGAGAATTCTAGCAAGCTGTTACCCTTCATTCATGGTGTGACATGCATTCCTCATTTTCCACCCACCAGGCTGCATGAAGCGTTGCCAAAGAAAGATGCGCGTGCCGGGGTACGAGGAGAAGGTTCCTTACAGGGCGCTCACTGTAATCACTCTGCATTATCTCGCTGTTCTCGTTTTCCCCACCAGGCTCCAGGAGGCTCTTGCCAAGAAGATGGGTGTACCGGGGTATGAGGAGAAGGTGCCAGCGAACGTGCGGGAGGAGAATGCCAGCAAGGCTGCCAAGCTGGCAGCTGAGCTGGCGAGCATTGACGAGGCGATCAAGAACTTTGAGAAGCTCATGCTTGATGAAGCCTCTTCCTGATGATGCTTTTGTGTGAAGTGTTTTTCAATTCGAGCCTCTACTACTCATAGGTCAGCTTGATGGTAAGACCAACTTACGAACTTTGTTCGAGAACCCGATGCTGACAAGACGGTTAGGAACTTCGAGAACCCGATGCTCGATCAGGCTTCTGCTAAGATGAGGCTTCTGCATGAACTCACTATGATGACTCAACTTGGCACCTTGATAGTACAAGACCTTTGCCTCAAGTACAGATTGGAATTTTGTTTGCACCTCTCTGGTGACTCTGGTGACTTCATTCTGTGGCACATCTACAGTCTCTCAAACATGGATGGGTGTTGCATCTTCCCATGTAGTCTCATCTTGTCGTTTGCATTGGGCAAGTGTGTTTGAACTCTTTTAGTCAACTCAACATTCAGCGTTACTTGTCAACCGTAGACCCGAAGTTGGTCTCGGATGACCGGAAGTGGGGCTAGCTTCGTGTCATCCCCGGAAGACCGGAAGTTTGACACCAGCCAGGAACGCGCCCTTATGCTGGAGAAATCAGGGTCTGGCCGAATTGATGATATTCGCGAATTCCGATGGGAATTTCGCTGGCAAGCCAGACTCTGAAACTCTAGTCTGATTGGCCGCTCAAAACCTCTGGACATCCGTACTTTTTCGGTATTTTCTCGAAAGCGTCACCACTTCGAACATGTGTGATAAGAATTCAGTATATTACGGTGGAATGCTATGTTGTGCGTGTTAAAACGGCTCGTATACGAATCAGTATGGTTGGGTAGGGTTCCGGGTGACAATGAACCCTTAAAACACAACTACGGTAACTTGGAGTGGTGCGAAATATGGCGTGTTCCTACGCCTTTTATCAATCGAACCTCATATCAGGCTCACACTGAAAATTCCCCTAAAACCAAAATCCTTCGCTAGTTTTACCAGGCAAGTGCGATATGAGGTTGCTTGATAGTGAGGCATAGGAACACGCCCTCAAACACGGCCTCTGGCCACAGTAACTATTACAGTACATTTTCACGCGTTTGGTAACTCGTTTCACGCAATTGGTAACTTAGCACAGGCGAATGAACACGCGAATGGTAACTAGATGAAACTCCCGCCGAAATGATCCTGATTCCTGACTAAGAGGAATTTGTTACATTGAAAGATTTCACGGACCGTTTTATCGATTTTGAACGATTCCCGCCGTGACTTTGAAGGATCGCGTTTGTTCAATTACCACGGACCAAATAGTTTCAGAGCCGTTTCATATCTATTTTAAGCTCGGAAATATAGTACTAACAAGTACAATAATATTTTTGAGAGCATAATTGCATAATTGCAAAATGAGGAAATTTTCCCGGAAAAGCGACAATAATGTTATTTAAAAAAATGTGTAATTAATGCAACGTGGGATAATTTTGAGGTGGGAAAATAATACCCTTCCGAATGGCATGCCTTTATTGTAGAAATAACATTGAACGCCTTGTCGCAAGGAGTTTAGGGTTGATGCTCTCAAAATCATTTGCCATCCGAAAGGGGTATATATTTTTGCCCCGGTTGTACGATAGAATCAAGTAAAATAAATGTTCCGCGAGCGCCAGAATATCTGCACTATATTAGAAACGTTTTTCAAAACAGCAACTTTTCACGAAATAGTCCGGATTTCGGAAAGTGTGTCAGAATTTTGGAAACTGTGTCAGAATTTCGGAAAGTGTGTCAGAATTTCGTGCTTCAGGACTCGTCAATTCAGTCTGGCGCGAGCGGGAAAAACCAGAATCAGGGTCAAGTTGGTCGAGGGTTTCTTCTAGTTACCATTCGCGTGATGGCTTGCCAGTGTATAGTTACCAAACGCGTGCATCGAGTTACCAAACGCGTGAAAATTCTTACCACACGCCCCCCCCACCACCACCACCACCATCAGCACCCACCAAGCCTCTCGCGCCAACTCCAGTTGCAGATATTTGAAATGTTTGCAAGAGACGTGTAAAAACCAGTAAGGTTCTGGCAATCCAATTTATGATGGCGTCTCTACATTTCACGATCCGCGCCGCCTGCCTCCTCCCCGCCTCCGGCTCGTCGCGTTTCGGGGCTCCTCTGAGGAGATTATCGACATTGTCACTCTTAGCTGAGAAAAAAAATTGCAGTCGTCAGTCATTTCGTCAGTCTAGTGCTCCTATCGAGTGTTTACGTAAATCTATAGAGTCTCCGCTATCGCGCTCGTTACAAGAACGCTTGTTTCGGTCACCTTCGTTACAATCACGTTCTGCGTCAGCACCTCCGTGCTCCATAGTGGCATCGGCTGCGTCAAGAGAAGGATCAGCCACGGCATTAGGTGCTGCTTCTTCGTTACAGTCCGCTCCGTTATACGATGCAGTGCTTGTAGACGTCGGAGGGACACTGCTGAAAACCGCCGAGCCCGTTCAAGACACGTACGCCGCATACGCGGGGAAATACGGTTCATTATAAAAATATGTTCTGTTTCCATTTAGCATATGGATTTAGATTGACGTTACGATTGAGGAGTTTGACCTTACGAGCACGCGGTTTCCGCATCATGTGCGCAGGTGTGACTGTATCGGCGGACGAAATAAAGAAGGGATTCAGACGAGCGTTCGCGGAGCCATGGCCGCACGGTCTGAGATACGAGGCACGTTTCTCGCTATAAGTACTATAACTATAAGTAACATGATTTAAGTGGCACGTTCTGTAAGTCTCATGGTTGTTTAACATGATTTTAAGTGGCACGTCTGTAGGTCTCATGGTTGTAAATATTGCTTTAAGCTTGTCATAACCTGCTCTGACCCGCCTCACCTCATTGTCGCCGCTCCCTTTGGTTACCCCTCCCTCCCTCCCTCCTCCCTCCCTCCTTACTCGGCTCCCTCATTCTCCCTCTGCCTTTCCCCTTGCCCCCAGGGCGATGGGCGGCCGTTTTGGCGGCATGCAGTGGCCATGGCAACAGGGTCTGACAACCAGGACCTGTTCGAAGACCTTTACCAGGTGGGCAGATGGTTGGAAAGAAGAAAGATTTGCTTAGAAATGACTTTTGGGTCGACTCAAAGGTCACCTAGTTTTGGCGGCATGCAGTGGCCATGGCAACAGGGTCTGACAACCAGGACCTGTTTGATTGAAGACCTTTACCAGGTAGGTAATAAGGGAAAACACACACACACACACACACACACACACACACACACACACACACACAACAGTGAGCATTATTAGTCGAAGGAAATACAAATTACGGTTAATTCAACTCCTCTCTCCTCCCCTCCTCCCACCCGAATGTTTGGAAGCATGAGTGTGGTTAGTAGGTTGCTGCAGTGGAGCAGGCGGCTTGTGAGCTAAATCAATAATGCACTCACTCACTCATTCACTCTCTCACTCACTCCCTCACTCACTCACTTATTCTCGACTTTTTCCTTCGTGACCTCCCCCCACCCCATCTAATCCCACACCACACCCTCCCATCGTATCCCACCTTCCCCATCCGTATGGAGAGAGGTAAAGGGTGTAATGGAGGAGGTGGCGTGTGAGCCGGCTCACTCACTCACTCACTCACTCTCGTTCCTGCTTCTCACTCTCCTCCCCACCTCCCGCCTTTCCCCTCCCCAACTTTACCCTCCCTGCCTTTCCCCTCCCCGCCCCAACTCATCCCACCCTTTCCCCGCACTATGAGAAGGCGTCAGCTTGGAGGGTGGCAGACGGTGCAGTAGATGCTCTCTTGAAGCTTAAGCAAGCCAACGGTAAGGGCCAATGGTGCGAGGCGTCTTGTGAAGGCAACTTTCGAGGTGCCCCAAAGGTCAGCTTGGAGGGTGGCAGATGGTGCAGTGGATGCTCTCTTGAGAGGCTCAAACAGGCAAATGGTGAGAGCTGAAGTTGTGAAGCGTCCTGTTGAGGCGAGTTCTGAGGTGCCTCAAAGGTTGGCATGGAGGGTATCAGAGGGTGCAATGACTGCTTTCTCAAGGCTCAAACAGGCAAGTGGTGCGTGAACCAGGGATTTACGGGAGTGAAACCCAACTGGTGGGCAAAAATAAGAGTTTTCCTGTCAAATTCCCCAGAGGATGAAGTACTTTGTTGCTGAAATTTCTCTAGCGCAATGCCTAAATTTGAAATGACTCAACGAAAGACCAGGAGAGTTTCGCTGTTGTCTTGCCTATATTTTCTTTCCCCCCGCTTTCAAATATCCATTGGTCCTATCTTCTTTTCCCCCAAGCCACTCTTCCTCATCCACTCACCCACCCACTCACTCACTCTCGGACGGTCCCTCTTTTCCTATGTAGCCATCACCCTGACGGTGTCCTTATATTTTTTTTCATGAACAGTCTTTCTAAACTTTTCTGTGCATATCTCCCCACCTTGCTCCTCTCCAGTCCGCCTGGGGATGGTTCCCGGCCCATTCCCTTCCCACCCACTCTTTCGTCTCTCTAGTTTTCTGTCGTTTCACACAGAATAGCTGCGTTCCCCTAATAGTTTCTTCCCATATTGCTCCCCACCAATCCGCCTGGCAATGGTATCATGTTTCTTCTTTCGTTGACGCTGGGTGCTCGCCTGCTCCTCCAGTCCGTTTGGCGATTGTTTCCAACTTCGACTCGAGATTGCGGCCGATTCTCCGGGACCTGCAAGTCGACTCCCTGTGAGTCTTCCTTCCTTCTTCACACGTTGCATTGAATTGACTGTCTGCGAGTTTTTCCTCCAGGGCTATTAAGGTGACAACGTTATTCTCAAAATTTTACGCTTGTATTACAACTTTACTCCCTTTTACTAACTCATACGTTTGATTTTCTAATGCCTCTGTCATTCTGTTCACTGCATTGCCCTGTCTGTCCCCTGCAGGTTTGATGCGATCGTCGTATCAGCTGAAGTTAGATACGAGAAGCCATCACCAGAAATATTCGCCATTGCTCTTGGTAAACAATAATTTGTTTTTACTGGGTAGAGGGAGGGAGTCTGATGCCTCGTTAATTTGTTGCTTTCGCATGCGGGGTAGTATGCAACAATTGATTCTCGAGGCCAATGTTTTTTTCCACCTCTCCCACTGATACCTCTCTCCCGTCCTTTTTCCCCACTTCTCTCGCTAAATCCCAAAAAGAGGGGGTAGGCATGTTCTCCCGTCCTTCTCTCCCCCTTACTCCTGCTTTGTTTCATCCCCGCTTTCCCCCTCACCTTCTCCTGCAGCACATAGCTATTAATTGTCGCAACCACCAGTCGAGCGGTGCATATGGTGTGGGATGATGCACTGAATGATTAAGGGGCCTAATGGGGAATTAAGTCATATGGTGTGGGACGATGCAAGGAATTGCTAAAAAAAAGCCCCAAAGGGAATAATCCTTCTTGCGTTCCCCCTTACCCCTTTTCTTTTCTTTGCCCCCACTTCTCTTCTCCCCCATCACAGAGCAACTAGGTGTCACATCTCCCAGTCGCGCAGTGCATGTGGGGGACGATGCAGTGAATGATTCCAAAAGGGTCCGAATCTCCTTGCGCTCCCCCTTACCGCTTCCCTTCCCTTTCTCCCCACTTCGCACCTCCCCCATCACAGAGCAACTAGGTGTCACATCCCCCAGTCGTGCAGTGCATGTAGGGGACGATGCAACAAACGACTTACAAGGGGCCATGGATGCTGGCCTGCATGCGTGGTGAGACTTTCTGACATGTGAGATTTATCTACAGCTTTTTTCTAGACGAGTTGTGCATGTGGGAGATGATGCAGTAAATGACTTGACAAGTGTCATGGAAGCTGGCCTCCACGCATGAGACATGGGGAACGAGTCATGGGAAAGTGCATGTGAAATCTTGTAGTGCGTTGTTCATGTTCTTTGTTGCAATCTCCGTCTCTGAGCAGGTTATGGAAACAAGACGTTAAGTCTTTTGACGATATCACACAACGGATCCTTGGGTTGTAGATTGGGTGGAAATGAGTGGTTATAGTGTTGGGGTGCATCTTTAAAAAATTACCTTGAACACATTATATGGCCGATTCGTTTTCTCTTCGGCTCAATGTGAAGCTTAAAATTCAGCTTGACGGGTCACTGTCGCGTACGTGATGCATCACTCAATCTCCACTACGTCGCGAACCAGGGAAACCAGCCACCAACTAGGTCTTCGCATAAACCTCGTCCGATTTTGCAGATGCTACCTGCCAGAGTAGGAGTTCCCAAGGGTCCTTCTCGAATCCAGTAGTATCTGGTCCTACCTGCCAGTAATACCTGCGTTCGCGACGCGTTCACTCTCGCGGCGACATCGCTTCCTCCAGTCGTCCTGACGTCTAGCAAGTCTCGTTTTCCGTGTGATTCGTGTATATATCGACGGTCCTCGTTAGAGACACCTGCAAGCTGTTATTCATTTATTTAATATAAGTGCGTCTCGTTCCCCAAGTCATCCATTTATAGTAAAGCGCGATAAGCGTCGATCTGCCTGCCGGTTTCTTGAGCGTCGCCAATGGCGACAGCGACCACGTGCCAGTCGTTAATCTGCGGGTTGGGAATCCTCGCGTGCTCGTGCTCCTTCGTCGTCGGCGTGCTGATCGCCGCGAGGGAACCACCGGAGAAGCTCAAGGTATTTCAGAATCCTCAAAAATAAACTCGAAGCTCAATGTGTCACCTTCGTGGGCTAAGTCGCCAGTATTTTAGGTTCCTCTGTCTTTTTCCAGTTTTGACTTCTCCATTATCATATGTTCCTCACTTGCCTTCTCCTTTCTTTTCCATCTTTTAACCGACAACAACCACGACCTTCATCCCTGTCTCCACCCCTCCCGACCGCTCTCCACTCCCTCCCAGTCAGATCGACAAGTACGTCCCTGAGGTCGAATCCCCGTATTGTCCGTTCTTCAAGCCGCCATCTCTCCTCCACACAGCCAACAACCCCGCTTCCACCTCCGAGTCTAATAGCGTCATCCCTTCTCTCCATCTCCACCCCTCCCCACCGCCCTCCACTCCCTCATTCCCAGATCGACAAGTACGTCCCTGACGTCGAATCCCCTTATCGCCCGTTCTTCAAGCCGCCGTCTCTCACAGCCAACAACCCCTCTTCAAGCTCCAAGTCTCTCAGCCTCTTCGGCAACTTAAAGCCCACTGAGGTCTTCGCTGAGACGCAGCCGCCAGAGCTTCAACACATGGGGGAGGAAAAGAAGGAGAAGATACCGAGAAGCTGGCTGGGACGAGCAGGGGACGGCCGGGGGATTGGGAGAGGAGAGAAGGGAGGCAGGGGAGGGAGAACTATCCGTGGTGACAACGGTGGCTCATTTAGCAGCGGCGCCTCCTTTCGCAGCGATTCTGAGAATTCTCAAAAGAATCCTGCCGGTCGGCCAAGCAGCCCTGACCAAGACCGGTCTATGGAAAGATACCCCCGGAACAATTCCCAAGGGTATAACCAAGGGTATCCCCAAGGGCATTCTCAAGGGTATTTTCAAGGGTACCCTTCTCAAGGGTATGCGCAAGGAAATGCTAACGGGTACTCGCAAGGGGGTGAACCCAGGCAGGGTGGATACTTACGGCCTGAGACGCCCTCACGCCCTCACGCCCTTCCACCACTTCCCACCCATCCTCACCGCACTCATCGTCCCCCGTACACCCTTCCCCTCCCTCGCACCTCCGATCAGACCCATACCAACGGGGAGGCCCGTCTCACCCCGCGCACTCCCCGTCTCACCCCTCCCATCTCAACTCCCCGCGCACTCCCTCTCACCCCTCCCACCCTTCTTACCCCTCTCACCCTTCTCACTCCGCCTATCCTTCCTACGCCCCTCACCCTTCCACCCCATCTCACCTGCACTCCAATTCCCCTTCCCCATGGGGTCCTTATTCCCCCCACCCTCCATCCCCATCCATGCGTCCTCATGCATACACGCCCCCAAACCACCATCACCACCCATCCGCGCCCTCCCACCCTTCCTCCATGCCCCATTACCCCTCCCACATGCCCCATCCCTCTCAACACCCACCTTACCATCCGCAACACCATCAATCATATCAATCACCTGGGTACCCTCACCATCCGTCATACACAAGACCACCCAACTACCAGGGTTATCCGAACCATCCCAGTGCTGTAGCAGCAGGGGTAGGAGGTCTTTCTCCCTTTGCCAGCCACCCAGGCACTCCCAGGACTCCAGGTTGAGCTAGTATTGTGAAGGGCATAATGGGATACGGTATTACAAAGGGGTGGTTCTTCTTTCCAAGCTGGGGAGCAGCCTAACGAGCAGCAGCAGGGGTAGGAGGGGCTTCACCCTTTGCCAGTCACCCAGGCACTCCCAGGAGTCCAGGTTGAATTATTATGAAGGAAGGCCATTATATCAGTTCATTACAAGGGATGATCCTTCTTTTCAAGCCAGAGAGCAGGCTAACGAGCAGCAGCAGGAAGGGCGGAGGCAGGGGGGTTGCTTCGAGAGGGCCTCCCATAATGGGAGTCTTGTGGTTGTGGCTTACTCCTTACTCATATCCTGCATCTTGCACTCTGTGATGAGGTTAAATGGAAAGAAATTGCAGACAAGGCACCAAGCTTGTATACACCTTATTCTACAAAGCCCATGGCTAGTTTGCCTTGCCAGTCACAGCAACTGAACTTGGAAGATACGCGCTACCGTAACTGTACAGCAGTGTGATTGACTTGTTGAAGGTTGTTATCCAGGCGTGTGAGGTCACGAGCGGGCAGCATCAAGCATGAAGTCACGCGGGCGTGAGTGTTGCGAATGTCGCCATGCGCTCGCGAGTGAAAAGAGGCGTGACGAACACGAAGCTCAACCGAAGGGCCCCATCACGTATGAAGTCAGAAGCGGGTAGCTTCTAGCATGAAATCACGTGTGAGTGTCGCGAATGTCGCCATGCGCTCGCGAGTGAAGAGAGGCGTGACGAACACGAAGCTCAGCCGGAGGACGCCGTCCTGCAAGGTGGGGATTTGTTAGGGAGAATGTGATGGATGGTACATCTCAAATTAAGTCTCACAAAGTAAAATAAGAGAATAGAAACTGACAACAAGCTCAGCAGCAAGCCATGTATAACAAGATGATCGCTGTAGAAGGGTTAGTTTAGGTGAATGAATGTGGTTCTCACCGAAAGGGTATCTGGAATGGCAATGGCAGGGCCGACCCCATGCGCGGACACAACAGGGCCGAGCACTTGCTCTAATTGTACCGGCCCCAACCCCACACGTGTCGAGTGAATGAATGAATGTGTCACTTACCGAGAGGGTATCCGGAATGGCAATGGCAGGGCCAACCCCATGGGCAGACACGACAGGCCCAAGCACTTGCTCCAGTTGTACCGGCTCTGATCCCATGCCTGTCAAATGAGTTGCCTCGGCCCGAGCCTCCACAGCAGCTTCGGTATCTGGTTTGGATAGCTGCCAGTCGACCTTCAGGGGTGCAAGCATGCCGGCCGTGATGAAGCAGGTTCGGAGGGAGTGGTCTGGGGAGAGGCTCGGCATCTTCATGGCCTGGAAAACAAGAACGGAAAAGAGAGCAGCAAGCAGAAACAAATAAGATGGCCAAATCGGGAACAGTATCACAAGTTGCTTGCTGACATGGATTGTCTGTAAACTGGTCAATGAAACGTGAAACTCTAAATCAGAAGAACAGTATGTAACTCTAGTGTGTGTAAGCTTCACCTTCACCCCTTCACGAGTATGTCCGAACTTCCAGTTGACTTACTTACAAGTTGTTTCAGTTGTGAAGTCAACTGAAAGTTTCACGTTGTTTCAGTTGTAACCTGTACATCCTTCCATCCTTTCAGTTTTTTCAGTTGCAGTGCTGACTCACACCAGCAGAGCATTATGACTATGAACATGTGAATTCTCCCTGTTGTAACCCGTGAGATCACACGTACCGTGGAGAAGAGCAGCTCCAGAACAGGCATGTCTGTAAACTGCTGCTGCCGCTGCAGCGCTGACTCAGCATGGGCGCTGATTGACGTGGCAACGTCCCAGAAGGGCAGCTTCTCGGAAACCTCCTGCTTGAGAGGCAGCATTGACATGTACTCGCCCAAGGCGGTCTGGGGAAGTGGCGGGTTCAGTATTGTCCGGCAACCAATGGCACTGGAGAAGGGAGTGGGGAAGGGTGGGGAGGGTGGGGGAAACAGGTAAATGAATTGTGAGGCAGCATGGACACTCGCCAAAGGCGGTCTGGGGAAGGGGCGGGTCCAGTATTGTGCGGCAGCCAATGGCACTGAGGAAGGAGAAAACGGGGAATGGGGGTATGAGGGAAAGAGGGGGAGGGGGTAAGAGGGGAAGAGCACAAGGCCTGCTTGAGCGGCAGCATTGACATTCACTCGCCCAGTCATTGCTTCTGTTCAAGATCATTGTTTTGATCGTATTTTTTCTTGTATCAAGCCGTTGTTGCTTCTGTTCAACCATTGCTTCTATCGAATCATTGGTTCCATTTAAACACTGCCACTTCGATCATTGCATCTCACCTGCCCAGGCTGAACACTTCAGTTCTGCCGCCCAGGTGCTTCATCCGGGCGGCAGCTTTGAGCCCCGCTGCGCACTCCAAGGAGAACAGGGAGCACCCGTGCGACTCCCCTGCGGCCAAAAGGGCGGCCGTTTCTGTCGTTTTGCAACAAGGACGGTGGACGTCGGAAACAGGAGAGGTAGAGAAACCAGGTGAATCCGTGGACTTGGAAAGTGGGACGGACATGTTCAATCCGAAACTTCAGTTTCTTTTGTTTGACATGATTCCATGACAGCAAGGGTTTGGGGAAGGGACGGATTCGTTGGGGTTTGAGAGCAGCTTACCCTCCTTAGTGAAGGTGACTGTAGCGAATCGCGTCGCAAACAAATTCTTCCTCGAGTCAGCTCGCCCGGGCTCGAAAGGAAGGTGCGAGGAAATGAGGGCGTTGCGCACGTAGCCGACGGCGTTGAAGGCTTGCGCGAATGTGCCTTTAACGGATGTGCTTTTAGCGGAGAGGGCCTTTGGAAGGAGCGCAGCGAGGGGAGGAGGAAGGGAGGGAGCGGCTGTTCGATCTTCAGAGGAAGAGAGGGAGGAGGAGGAAGGAGAAGGGGTAGGAGAGGAGGAAGGAGAGCAGGAGATAGGGGAAGAGGAGGATGAGGAGGATGGGGAGGATGATGAGCCGCGGTTTAGATGCTTCTTCACGCGTCGCAGTTCTTCCAGGAATTCCGCCGCGATGGGTGGCGCCGAATGCTCGTCCAGCGCGGCGATGTGCGACCGGAGCGCGACGAGCGTGGACGAATGGGACGCGTACACGTGGACCTGGAACACGTCAACAGACGCCTCGCCCTTATCTCTATTATTCGTAGCCCCAGGATGATCCCGACCGTCGACCATGGGCGTGTTTAGCTCCGTTTCGACCACACGATGCAACATTCCATTCTGACAATCTGACTCGTCCGCCGTTGCCACGTCAGCAGTGTCACATTCGCGCACGGTGATTGGTTGGGGAGGTCGGCACACGTGGAGCTCGGGCTGGTGGGACTTGGGCGGCTTGATTATCCGGGCGGACAGGACGGGGTGCCGGGCAGACAGAGTTTCGATGGCTGCCCGAACCTGCGAGGTGAGGATGGAGGATAGTGTGCAGATGTAAGAATGACAGAATTGGGAATGGCGGAATGGGGGACGGTGGAATGATGGGCGGAATGGGGATGGTGGAATGACGGGAGGAACGCGGGAAGCTGGAGCGGAAACTTATAGCACGCAGATGCTTACCTCGTCGATGCTGACGTGGCCGGAGATTTGCAGCCCCGCAACACAGACGCCAGTGCCGCCATGCATTGCGCGCCACCACAGCTCCTCGTCGCCGGTCAGCGACCGGCTAATAGCTGCCGGTCCGTCAACTCCACATCCCTGCCGGCCGCATGCTGGCAGAGCAGTGGCTGCCGCGCCGGCGCCGCCCCATAATCTTGAGATTGCCGAGGCTTTCGCGGCGGCGCGAAACTCCCGGGATTTTTCTGACGAAGTAGAATGAAAAGTGTCGGACACGTGATGATAGGTGGATTCGGGGTTAACGAGGCTGTTCTTATTCTGCAATGGCGTTTCATGCGAATGAAATGACGCTTCAGGCAGTTCGAAAGGGGAGGCGTCTTTCACAGAGCAAGGATGGGACCAGGAACGGTCTGGCGTTAACGGCGACGTCGGTGATAAGCGACTCGAGTCCATGGCGGTTTGTAGAGTCGAAACGGATACAGGATGTGAGATTTACCAACGAGGGTCCTTGGTTCAGGCAATCGGTGCGGTGTGCATAAACTAACCGTAGTCCGAAAAAGGGGAATAATAGAGAGTCTGTGATGACCTGTGGAGTGAAGGAATGCGTGACAGGAGGAACTGCTGGGCAATATATACTCACGAGCTATGGGGACTGAGACAAAGCACATTGAAGCTACCAGGTGGAAAATATTGCTTCAGTTTCTTCCCTTCCCATCCACAACACCATGCAAACCAGATTCCTGTTCATCCGCTTGTTCAGTACGGTCTAAAATGGTCTTCGACGTTTTTACGTGGTGCCTCCTGGTAATGCTTTGTTCTGCACAGATTTCAGCTCACCAAGAAGAATGAAACGCCGTATCCCGACCCGAGGCGCATGCTGCTGGACGTGGTCTCGACAAGGAGCCTTGCTGTCGTCGCGGCTCGATTGTGCACGTGAGAATACCCGATGTTAACAGCTAGCGGTTCATTTGAGGAACTCAAAACTTGACGGACCGTCCCTCGAGCTGGATTCGACCAGTACGAGAAGGCATCTTCGGACAGGCAGGCGATGACGCAACATTCGCATTGGCTCACAACCACTGCTGGCAGCCCGTTGCTACGCTGGGACGAGCGATAGGCGGTGATTGGAGAATGAGTTGTGCTTCGGCTTTGCGCACTGCTCAGCTACAGTAACGTCACACCAATGCAAGGTCATTACCGTACTGAGTTGAGTAGAAACACTGCAGGAAAAATAAATTGCTAGTGAAATAGATTGATTAGTTAGATATAGCATGTTGGAGGTTCTACCTCGCATCCCAGTCACATTGTGTCCCAGTCTACGCGGTACGGTGCAGTGCGACTGTCATACTGCTAGGTGTGTTGATGTGCGGCACGGTACTGCACAAACTGAGATGCTTTAAGTTTGAAACTAGTATGCTGAAGCTTGTTTGCATATTCTCTTGATTATATATGTTCATGCGGTTGATATTCTTATGCACCAATCAGTTGGCGTTGTGAGGGTTGAGAATGCTGCTGGTGAAGGGCGAGAAAGTTGCTGGTGAAGGGCGAGAATGTTGTTGGTGAAGGGCGAGAATGTTGTTGTTGAAGGGCGATAATGTTGCAAAGAAGAAGTGGGCTGCTCTTGGTGCCATGGTGCGAAGTGGTACAGACGTTTCTACTTGTTGTTCAGAGTGGCTCCTTCCTTGATGGTAGCATTATGAAACTAATCTTCTTCTCAACTACATTGATGGTCCAGCAGCTTCTTCTCTACCTTGCACTGATCTAACACGTATTCACGAACAGAATATTTATTTGTGCGGAGCTCGCACAAGTCGCTGGCTCCCTCGTCGCTGCCACGTCCTCCCGCGGTGACTTTTAAATCGACTCAAAATTCACCGCAATTGCATCCTCCCGCCGCGCTATCTTCTCTTGTCGGACGGCACAGCGCCGCCGTACGTTTCACACACGCCCTTGACGCACTGGGCGCCGCCGAGGCACTGCTGGTTGCACCCGCCGCAGTTGTTGGGGTCATTGAGCGTGTCGGTGCAGTTGCCATAGCAGCACTCCAGCGAGCCCTTGCACGGCGTGTTGCACGAGCCGCAGTGGAAGTTGTCCTTGAGCACGTTGCGGCAGGCGCGCCTGGAGGAACGCACGCGGGGGACGAATCAAACGGTTGAGAGAGGTAATGAGGTCATGCGGATGAAATTGAAACAAAAGTCGGATTCAAGACAGAAAATATGTGTTTGCAGCGAAGATCCGGAGAAGAAAGGGTAGTCTGCCGCACACTTCAGAAGTTAAGAACGACTATATAGGGGTATGCAAGAATTCTTATCGTTGCATTACTTTAGGGGAAACTCTTACCCGCAGCAGGTGTCGAAGTTCTCGGCAGTCCCCTTCCAGAGGTCGCACACCGACTGGTTCCCGAGGCACAGCTGACCAGGCTTCAAGTGGTGGCCCTTGCCGAAGGGGTGGTGACCAATCATCGTCCCCACTTTCTCGCCGACCGCGTGTCCGCCCTTGCCCGCGCCGTGATGCCCCACCTCCGTGCCGTGGTGCCCCGCAGTGCTCGCGTGGTGACCCGTCCCCGCGCCGTGATGCCCCACGCCCTTGGGATGTTTGCCCTTGGGATGCCCGCCACTGGCGCGGGTTGTCGCGATGCGCGTGTTCGCGAGGTCCTGCAGGAGGCGCGAGTTGTGGTGGCGGCCGGAAGATGCGGCGTCGGTTGCGGGCGAGTTGTGGCCGATATTCGTGCCATGGAGAATTCGTCGGACGGCTGAGGTGGTCGAGGCGAGAAACGAGGAGAGCTGCGATTGGGTGGAGGTTGACGGAGCCGCGTTAGCGGAGTTCTTTTCCGTCAAGCCGCGGTTGGGGTGTGATGGCTTGTCGCCGAGACGAATCTTCACTCTGAAGAGGCCCTTCCGTGGTTTGTTCTCAAAATGCGGGGCGAGCTCTTCCACAGCGAAGGCGGTGGATATCGAGAGAAGGGCGAGTAGGAGCACGAGAGTGATCCGGTAGACGTTTGACACCGCCATTTTCGACTGATGAATGTAGTTGACGCTGAAACGTCGGAGCTGAGAACACAGCGACGATGGGGATCAGCGGCCGGAGTGGAAAACTGCAGTTGGGAGTGGGAGAATCGCGATAGTTGCCTTAGTGACTGAGAGCGAATGCAGAGAGTAGGCTTGAGAGAAGCCCGAAATCTGCTGCTTCTGTGAGAGGCGAGATGAGATTGATGGGGAAAGCAGCGCGATTTTCAGAATTTGAACATCGAGGGGTTGGAAATTCGCGGCGCGTGAGGTGGAGGTGGGGGTGAAAATCGGTCACAATTTGCATCGAACGCGCGGAAGATGTGTGGAACATTGTTTCGCAAACGGCTGGCGACATTTTTTCAGAATGGCGGTCTCGTCGCGGCTCGTCCCATGAGATGGATTTTGCGAATTTGGAATGAAGATAGATGTTTCCAGCTGGCGACTCGAACATATTTCGCGGGCACGAACGGGACTTGACGGGAGGGACAATTTGACGGTCGGTGGTGATGAACGGCAAGCTCTAACGGCCTCGTGAGCACCATCGCCCTGCAGATATTTCTAATTTCATCCACCCAGAAACATATATCACTTGATGTAAGGAAAATCCCTTTTCCTTACTTCGCGTCCCTGCTGAGCGCGTACACCACTGTTCCCGCCAACAGCACCCAACAGCAAACCGTTACCACTCGCCTCGACCACTGTTCCCGCCACTGTTCACGCCGCGACCCAACCTCACGGTTCGGTCGGTAACCCGCGCTCCGGACCTTCGCCTCGACAATTCCCAACCTCGGCGCCAGGCCCGTCGCGCACCCCATTTTTACGCATGACCGTTACCACTGTAGTTTCGCTATGTTACAATCCCAAGTGGGACTTAGCAAATGATCGCTCAGGGTTGATCGCAGAGTAGTGTTGCAGCGGAAGTTTGAATCTCAGGTCAGAGTGAATGTAAATGACTGAGTTGATAATAGCATGCATACATCGAGTTTATATAAGAATACAGGGAATACGAAAAGACCTAGACTAGCCATGTACTCTAAGGGGTACATTCCCTTATTACAACCGAATTCAACCGTGCGGCGCGGGAACCCGTTTCAAACCTGTTCCCGCTCTTTTCACTTCAAATGTTTCTGCCAGCATCGGTCTTGGTCAGGCGGTTGCTGCGTCGCTTCGACTCTTCTGACTCCTCGACTTCGTACTCGGTAGAGTCGGCTCCTGCAGCATACAGGAATGCCTTCTCATAAAACTTCATATCGTAACACTCCCCTTCATTCCTGGACGCGGGTGGAGCTGACTCGCTTGACTACTCCGGTGAGGTCGGAGCAGTGTTTGTACTGCTGACGTGGCAGGCGCTTGGTGAGGAAGTCTGCTGCCATCTCAGTGGTCGGGCAGTAGGCGAGGTCAACTTTGCCTTGGTCTATTTCGTCCTTGACGAAAAAGTACCGAAGCGCGATGTGCTTCGTGCGGTTCACGAAACCTGGCTTGTTCGCGATCCTGATGGCACTTTGGTTGTCGCAGTGAAGGCGAAAGGTGGGCGAAGTTGGAACCACCGAAAGGTAGGCCTTCGCGAACTGCTGCTGTCGCGGCGATGTATTCTGCTTCAGCCGATGACAGGGCAACCAGCTCCTGCTTCTGCGAGTTCCAGGAGATTGGCCCAGTTGGTTCCAAGCGAAAAACGAAGCCGGTTCGGGACCGTCGATTTGCAGGGTCAGCTGCATGATCTGCGTCCACGTAGCCGTTGAGGTTGAAGGAGGTGGTTGTCAGCGTGGAGTAGGAGAGCCCAATGTCAGATGTGGAGATGAAGTACTGCAGGGCGCGTTCCAGGTCCAGCTGGTTCTCAGCTACTGGCTTGCGAGAGTACTGCGCCAGTTGGCTGGCAATGTACGAAAGGTCGGGTCGGCAGGTGACAGAGGCGAACAGCAGGCACCCCAATTTCTGCTGGTACATTTGGAGTCCTGCGGGCGACAGAGGTTTGTTGTCCGGTTTGTAGTTGGCGCTGGGGTTGCGGTAGGGAGTTGAAAGTGGTGCCGGGGAGATGTTGAAGCGTTCCCCTAGCTGTTCCGCGTACTTGGAGGCTGACAGATGAATTGCTTCTGGCGCGTAAGTGATGTTTAACCCCAAAAACTGCTTCACTTCGAGGTTGATGGTAATGTCCACGCGCTGCGCCAGGTTCTCCTGAAACTGATCGAGGAGTTTGTTGCAGGTGCCCGTGTACAGCAGGTCGTCGACGTAGACTGTCAGGAGGATGTAATCGCCGCTGAAGTGAAGGCGATACATTCTCGGGTCGTGCGGGAGCTGTTTGAAGCCGATTTCGAGGAGGATTTTGTGCAGATGCTGCTGCCAGAGGCGAGGCGCCTGCTTGATCCCGTAGAGGGACTTCTTCAGTTGACAGACTCTGGGATCACCCTCTCCGTAGGTGTGCGGCTGCTCCACAAAGATGGTGGCATCCACCAACGCGTACAAAAACGCGTTCTTCACGTCGATCTGTCGCAGTGGCAGGTGCTTCGCGGCGGCAATAGCAAGTAGAATCCGGACTGAAGTGTGGCGGCTGACGGGAGCGAAGGTTTGATCGAAGTCGATGCCGTGGCGCTGATCGTACCCGCGTACGACCCAGCGTGCCTTGAAACGCTCGATAGTGCCGTCAGCGTTAGTTTTCAGGCGAAAGACCCACTTCCCGCTGAGCACCCTCCTCCCCTTCACTGCTGCACGATCGACTAGGACCCAGGTGTCACGTGATTCCAGCGCCTTGAGCTCCGCATCCATCGCAACATGCCACTCCTTGGCGTGAGGACCGGTTAGGGCCTGCCGAGGGTTCTTTGGCTCCACGGCCCGTGCGAGGGTAGAGACGGATGTGTGTAGGCCGAGGAGTTGAAGGCCTGACACAGTGGTGGTGTCTGTGTTGGTGGGGACTTCCACCACGTCGTCGTCTCCGCTCTCATAGCCGGGTGCTACGGTGCTTGGCTCTGCTTGGCGCCGTGATGGTCCTGGCGCGGGATCGTCATCGCTGTCATCGTCGTCGTCGTCGCGAGGGCGAGGTGGGATGTTGGGATGTTCGTCGGTGTCGTCGCGGTCCAGTGCTGCTGCTGCTGCTGCATCTTCTGGAGTCGCGAAGCTGCGACCGTGGTTGACGTAGCCGCGTGCTTCGTTGCGGCGCTCGTCCTCGATCCACTGCTTCAGGGTGAGTCGCTCGTAGAAAAGGATATCGCGTGTGGGGACAACCTCCTTGCTGTCCATGTCGAGGATGAGCCAACCCTTGTGCTCATTGCTGAGGCCCAAGTGAATACCCCAGCGCGCGCGATGAACGAACTTGCCGATTGTGGCCGAGGTCGGCCGGTATTGCACCATGCACCCCCAAACCCTCAGCATGGAGGGGTCTCCCCTTGAGCCGGTCCACTTCATGTGAGGGGACAGGTTATCCCTGTTGGCGGTAGTGGAGAGGAGGTTGTGCAGGCGCACCGCGTGGTTCATGGCGTAAGGCCAGAACTTCTTTGGCAGGCCGGACTGGTTCATGATGGCGCGGACTTTGGTCATGAGCGTGCGATTGACCCTCTCGGCGACGCCTTGCTGCTGGTGTGCATAGGGGAGAGAATTCTCGTGTTTAATCCCCTTCTCGGTGAGGACACTCTCCAGCTCATTGCTGCGAAATTCCTTTGCCCCATCACTCTGCCAGATCTTCAGTTTCCTCCCTGACTGGCGCTGCGCGTGCGCGAGGAAGTTGCGGAACACCTCCGGAGCCTTGGAACGGGCGTCAACGTTGGCGATCCACACGTGGCGTGAGTAGGCATCGATGAAGGTGAGAGTATACTTCTCGCCGTTGATGCCGTCGTGGGTGAGTACGATGAAATCGCTGTAAACTTTCTCCAGCTTTTTGTAGCGGTTGGTACTTGGCTCCAGGGAGGGATAGGCGCTGTGAGAGAGCGCAGCTGTGGGACAGACAGTGCAGGTGGTTGGATGGGGGGTGGTGTGCTGTAACTCCGTTCCGTCGGGGCGCAGCAGTGCTCCTGGAGGAAAGACTTTGGCGCGGAGGCAGTTGGCGAGGGTCTGGCGCGAGGGGTGTCCCATCCGCTGGTGCCAGAGATCATCTTCGGCGCGGATGCCGGAAGTGCGCTTGTAGCGGGTGTGATGCTCTGCTTCTTCTTCCGCCGTGAGTTGCGGGATCTGGAGTGGGGGTTCTTCCTCTTCTCCTGGTTCTGCTTCGCCGGCCGGCTCCTCTGCTTCTGCTTCTGCCATTGCCTCCCCTTCTGCAGGTGCCGTTGTGAGATAGAGCGCGAGGAATTCACGGTCGGGGATGATAGTGAGCGGGGTCGTGGTGCCTTCGATGAAGCGAGCAAACGGATCTGGGCGAGAGATTGGACCAAGTGAGTCCTGCAGAGGAGTTGGTGGTATATTCCCCTCCTCAATCTCCGACCAACGATCGCGCCATCGATGGGGCGAGGAAGGAGGTGAGCGGGTGCGCGGGGGACGACCGAGTGAAATCGTGACGCGAGGGGATGGTGCTCCACGCTCAGCTTGCATCTCGCGTTCCATCTCTTCTTCTTCTTCCTTGGTGATTGGCGCATCCACGTATTCGTTTCCTCCCCATCCGCCGGTGTTGCCCCATCCTTCCGTGTTGACCGTGCCGCTGGCACTGGCTCCCCATGCTCCAGTGGCGGATCCCCAGGTTGCTCCGTCGCCTTCTTCTGGTTCGTAATCTTCATCTCCCCATGCGCCACGTCGTGCTGTCTCCTCGTCCCATCCAGCCGCGACACGTTCCTCAAACAATTTCTGTTACTTTTCCGCCCGTGCCTTGTCTTCTTCTTCCTTGACGCTCAGTTCTTCTTCTGCGTCAGGATCTTTCCAAGCCGGGTCAATTTCGTGTCGGTAAACTTCGCGGGTGTAGGGACGTGGTCGTCCATCGTCGTCGAAGGTAGTGGTGTTGGCTTCTAGGACGAACCGGAGCGTTTCTCGATATGGTGTTGGTCGTTCGGCACGAAGCTGCCCGAAATCGTCGTTTGGTTCACCGAAAA